AACGGAACTCCATGCGGTACCAGTAGCAAGATATGTGAAGGAGGGGGAAAAAAATGTATGCAGATTTATGGTTCTATTCAATTCGATGCATGGGAAAAGGTGTGAATGGACTGGCGGGAAGATGTCCGGCTCACGTCTGTAATGTCTGCCATACTGGAGACAGTGGAAGCTATAGTCAACACACACCAGACCAAGAATAGTCGCGGGAGGCAAGCATTAGGATAGTCAGGCGCGCCTTCCTTTTGCTCTAGTGCGAGCATCCCAAGCTAGAGAGGACGCATTCTCTAAAATGAGAAGACGCATTCTCTAAAATTATCCCTTCTCCAATCCATGATCGAAAAGAAAAATGCGCAATGCAAAGGGACGGAAGGAGAATGCTCCTGATTTCCATCGAGAGGTTGTTGTTCGTTGGTGTGCCGTCGATGGTTATTAATGCATGAATCGGGACCAAAGGCAACGCCGGCCAGTGCGGGTGTTACTTCACAGCTCGTCTCTCAAATCCAGTCTTTCCAAGAGTCGCCCTGAGTTCCCATCCCAGGTTCTAGCCTCGAGTTCTCACCCCTCCTTCTCCCAATGCGCGCCTAAATTACAATGGACCCCTGTGATTATGCTGGGACAACCCTGGGCTGCTAGTAATTCCTATGGTTTCCGTAATGTGCTACCCTTGTCTAAATTTTTTTCCCGCCTTTTCACTTGTTCGGTCAGTCATGCTTACCGTGTTTGTGGTGCATCATTCAAATTAAGCACATTAAACAAGGCAAAACACCTTGGACGATGGGTACAAACGGAAGGAAAGAGTTGGGTCGACAGTATCGATGAAGGTGCTCGTTGTTATTGCGCGGGAAATGTCAGAGTTATTGCGCATGCTATCGCTGCCGGATACACGGTTAGCATAGTTGCTTCGACGTGGGTACGTCTCCAATCGATGGGTAAACAACAACAACGACAACGACAACAACAATAGTCTAACAGAGTGCACATGATGACCCAAACCTTTGTGAATCATGCGAGAAAAAGAAGGCTTCGTGCCAGGAGGATAGGAGATTGAAATAAACGTGCTGGGAGAGCGTCAGCGGGTATTTTCCCGCCAGTTTTATTATCGCGAATATCCCTTGAGGAGCCCTCCCCTTTGACAAACCATCGTGGGAGGGGTCCGGAAGGGGGGAGGAAGAGCCAAACGGAAGTCGCCACTTGGTCCTGGTGGTTTGTCATCCTAACCTGCCTGACCGCCCGATCCTTCTTTCCTGCTGCTACAAGTCGCGCGCTTTACTATACGGCCGAAGAAAGAATCCATGATGTGATGTCCACTGGGTCGGAAAAGGAATACTCAACTCTATTGGTCTCTTGTTGGGGGCACCGTACTGTACCCACCATCCCATGCAAGGTACTCCATCGCTCACGACCTATGTGCTCCTTTTAATTCTTCCGCGGAGCACAGCTGTGTAATCCTGCAGCCATTGACGGTTTTTATATTTTTATTTTTGCTGTTGTACATCACCACAGCAATCCAGGGTGGCCCCAGGGCCTGGAGTGATAGCTGTGCAATGTTTCGTCTGCTGAATCCGCATGAACCAGGGCAATAAGAAAAAAAAATCAACCAGACAGTTACTGTACTTTTCGCTGTTCAATTCGACCTTGAGTTCCGCTGTTGGCGGGCGTAAGTCTACTTGAGGTCCATGGTTATTTAACCAGATGCGGCACTCTACAAGACTTAGTGAATACAATGGAGACGCTCAGGCCATTCCAATGAAGTATTCTAGATATTTTTTCCCGCCCGTAAAGTGTTCCTCCTGTCTTTCGATTCCTGTTTTTGACGCGTTTTTGTTTAGATCGTCCAGTTACACTGTAACGATTTATTTTGGCGGGAGGTCGTGGAAAGAATGGTCGTGCCATTTCAAAATGTCTGTTGTGCTTCTTTCTACGCTGATTAGGCCCGGATTGAGCTTCGTGTAACAGGGACAGCATGTTGCCAAGTCCACGCTGGGAGATTATGCATGTGGGCCGTCCAAATCCACAAAGGCACGATAGTAGTATCGTAGTGGTCCCGTCGCCATGCTTGGTCAACGAGAGCCTCTTCCCAAACCTAATCAAGAATGCAATTCAGAAAGTTGATCCCTGGCTACACAAAAGAATCGCTCTGTGCCCGTACCTGGACCGTCCGTTGAACCTCTCACTTCCAGTGTTCCTTTCCGTTGCTTCTACAGTAGAATGGGCTTCATTTGAGAATGACCATCACCCAACCTACAATACTCAGATCACCCACTCAAATTCGGCTATTGCTGCCATGACAGAGGTCACTCCAGGGATCTCCGCGTACTTTATGTTTGTTTGTTGCTTGCATTGTGCTTGGCGCCTTCCATATCTGAGTCACCCATGATGGCACTATACTTGTAACAATTGAGGGACATTTTACTTTCTTAGTCGTGGAAGGCACAGAAGGACGGTCGACATCTTGCATATACCCTTGGTGTTTCCTTGGAATCGTGAGCCGTATTCGCGCCATGGGCTTACTGTGAGCATAACTATGACTGCAGCCTTTCGTCCTTGTGCTCCCCAACAATCTTTTTTCGTATTCACGTTTTTTTTTCTGTGTCCGCCTTCCTCCGTCAGTCCCACAGCAATCGGGCTCGTGGAGGTGGCGGGACAGATGATTACGAGTGAATAAATGACAATTTATTGAGATGACGCCCAGTTGTATGGAGGGTACTATGTCGAATGGCTACTTGACCCTTGATATCTACAAGGATGCTCATTCGTGCCTCTAAAGAGGCGAGGGCAGGAGGAGATTCGAGTTTGAGTGCAGTACCAAGTTTAGCTGCAGACATAGGAGGAACCTGCAGCTTACGAACTCAAAGAGCTGTATGCAATTAAATATTTGCCGCCCTTTTCTTATAGTGTATTGGTTCAACCAGGGGTAAGACCGCTGTATAACATCAAAGGCTAGGCGTATATTTTTCTTTAAGAGGCATACCTTTATTCTATTTTGAATGTATGATCATTCTAATTGTTTCTTCGAAGACCTCTCATGGCCCTTTGCTAGTTTTGTTTTCTTTTGTTGGTTGTTGTGTGCCGTTGGCAAAATGTGTGATGACAATTGAATAGGATGCTTATTTAGTAAACACGGTTTGCTGCAGCGTGCGCAGACCTGCAAATTGGCGGGAGTACAAACAATTGCAGAAACTAGAAACTAGCAGAGCGCGGAGGTCAATTCACGTTCTTTGACATCGGTCCTTGGGACACGCACCGATTGCAGACAAGCTGTATCTGCGAGCCAATACACAAGCACATACACACATGCTACATAGTACTAAACAATAGTCTGCATCATCAACAATGCAGCAATGCAACAATCAGGTATTTAGTTGCATTCAGTGGTGTACAACCTGCATTCTTTGGCGAACATCAGATCTGTCGTCGCTTCAGACAATTGAGTCTTTGTTGCTGTAGATATCGCACCATATTTGGGCTGCACGAAGGGTTGAGTGGTGTGTCGAAGAAGGGTAGGGGGGGACACGGCAGGATTGCTCTGGGACGCATTTAGTTCCTGAAGCCACACTGGACATGTCTAAAGGGAGTTGGGGCTGTCGAGGGGGCGTGTCAGAAATGGAGGAGGGATGTAGGGCATCAACGTGTTCTCAATGGCTCATTTAGCCCAGACAATCAAATCAATTCGCCTCTCCCTTTCGAAATAACTCATTTTCCCAATTCTCCAAGCAGGAATGGAGTCTAACGACCACGACCATTTATTACCATTCACTCACTTCAATATAGGAAATATAAGCAGAATAAGTTAGAACAGGCACAATAGGAAGCGAGCCAGTAGAGTATTCGGCCCTGAACCCCAGACCAGATTATAGAGACTACTGTAACAGTACTTATTCGTGTCCACGATCTTCAGTTTGTCGATCAGCCGTCCTTGTCTTCTCCTCCGTTTACCGTCCAGCCTCGCTTCCCCTTATAAAGCGAGCATACCCACCATCTTTTTTCTTTTATCTCCTCACAGAAACCCCCCCCTCCCCCTTCCTCTCGCTCGCGCGCTTTCCCGCCCTCGCACCCTCGCATTCGCTCTCTTTCTTCTCTCCCCCGCTCAATCTCTTGCTCTCGATCTCTCCCTCTCTTCCCTCCCCTCCCTCGGCGCTCTCCGCAACAGCACGTACACGCATTACACAAACATCCTATCCCACTTCTGCACACATCCTCACGCGCTCACCCACAGAAGCCAAACCCCTTCCGGCCGTCTATTCTTTTCGCTCTTTCTATTCTTTCCTATACATATTTTCCCACACAGTCTACACTATTGATTCCGGCACTCGAACCATCCGACGGACTGAAATAAACGCAAGTAAAATAGAATAAAGTAAGATATCCCTCCCCCTTCCTCTCTTCCCTGGGCCCCCTTCCCAATTGCCGCCTGTGCACCCTCCTCAACCAACCACCACTGTGCTCGATGTCCTATATAAGGTCCAAGGCGCCCCCTCTTCTCCCTCCTTTCCTACTCGTCAATCTTCGCTGTGTCACACATCTGTGTTTGGTACGGAAGATATTTTTTTTTCGTTCCCCACCCGCTTCGCCTCTCTCTCCTCCCAATTTCCGCGCACACAAACACAAACAAAGCACAGCGTCGAGACCCCTGGCCAAAAAAAAATAATCAAAAATCAAAAAATCGAACACCATCCAAAAGGTGTGCGACGCTAATCTTCTCTTTCTTTTTTCTCAACAGCCAGACTACATCTACGCCTTCACCTATACCTGTACCTACACGCTCCCGAACCAGACTGAAGGCACCACTCAAGGCATCGAACTCTTCCAACACACTGCTCTGAACACCCTTGCCGCATTCCAGTCGCGTCTTCCCATCTGCGATCCTTCCCATCTTCCACCACCACCTCACCCTTCATTACGATATCTCTTTACCGTAACATCACAGCAGCATTAATCAACGCTTCTGCTGTCTCTGAATACCATACCCTCGTGAGCATTACACACACGCACACATTCCGATGACATCCACAGCAAGCTTTTCCCTTTCCGAGCCTCAGCCTTACGACTCGCTTCCAGTAATGAACGATCTCGATGCCGCCATGGCAGTGTTCGATGATTTTCGATACAGCATCCCATCAGAATATAGTTCACCAGAACAAGACCTCTCCAGTCCAATGTTCTCTTCAGCATCTTCCTCACCAGACGGCCGGCTTAATGAGGTCGACGCGTTCTCTATGGATTTTTTTGCCCAGCATGACCTCAACTTTGGGTCGTCTGAAGCCGCATCACATCTCAATATGCTCTCCGGCCCTGGTCCATCGGCAGGGCCTGACTCGATGAAGTTGGAAAACGGACCATCATTCGATGACCCCTCCCTTTCCACAACCAAGCCCGAGATGAAGTCGCACACTGAGTCCCGTTTGTCCTCGGTTAAGCCAGTACCCAAGCCGCTGAATCTGGACCTAGCCGCGTCCATGTCCATGACAACGACGGATTCCCCATCGCCTACGCAGTCTGCCTCGCCCTTTTCGTCCATCCCTTCTTCACCTACATCCCCTTCGTACGAAGATGCTCCTACGCCCGTAGTGGCCTGTAGTAATTGCAAGCGGTCCCACGTCAAGTGCGACCACGGACGTCCCTGCCTGACCTGCCTCAAGCATCCGTTGAAAGCTGCTACTTGCCGCGACGCCGTCCCCAAAACAAGAGGACGTCCAAAGGGTGGCAGCAAAGCAGCGGCGGTCGATGCCATGGTCGCGGCCATGATGCAGCAGCACCCGGGCTTCCCGCCATACGCAACTGGTCCATTCCTCCATCTCCATGGTCAGCCAGACCAACCTCTCCCTCAGGGGTTGGGCCGCCAGCGTGCCATGTCCTTCCCGCACATCTCGCCTTTTGCCATGCAACAAGAGCAGCTGCAACACCAGGAGATGCTGATGCGTCAGCATGAGCACCGTCCTCAGTACCATCAACGTGCGGTATCTAACGGCCATATCCCAATGCATGGTCCTGCGGTTGAATTTCGTCAAGCCGTCCAACCTGCGTGGGGTGCTCCTGCTCCTGGTGTTCCTGAAATGGGACCCATTGCCGAAATACCATCGGCTCCCGCACATCCTTCGGTCGCGTACACCTCTCCTGCCTTGGATGCCTACGAGCTCCAGCAGCTTCAGCGCCACCGCCAAGAGGTCCAGCAGCTGATGGAGCAGGGAAAAAACTCCCTTCCATCACCCGTCTCCCAGCCCTCCACGCCGGTGACTCCGCACGATATGGGAATGACTCGATCTATGAGCGACCATTTTGGAGGTGCTCGGGCTCCTGTTCGGCATCTTCGCAGCGAGCATCACCATCCGTTCATGCAGCAGCATCCACAGCGTCGTCAGAGACCGCACCTGGGCCAGCACCTCACCCTCATGATTCCAAGCACTCCACACGGCACCCGAAGAGTCGTCTCTGCGGGACCCAGCCCTGTCTCTGCCACCTTCCCGGTCTCCCCGGCGGCCTTCCCAGCATCGCCCACAGCGATGCTCTCGCCCCCAGCATCGCTTCATTCTCCAACTCAGGCGTACCACCATCATCGCCATCACTCCCATCACTCGGTCCATCTTCAGCAGCCACCGCTGTCACCCATGGCCCATGGCCCTGTCGCTCATGGCGATGGTACCAGCCTGGAGAGCCAGCACATGGCGCATCTGCTGCTCCAGGAGCTCGAGATCAAGCACGACCTCGAAATGTATGAGCAGCAAGGGTACCAGAAGCAACAAGAGCTCGCTCGCATCAACATGCAGAAGATGAAGTTGCAGCAACAGCAACAGCATTTCCTGCTCGAGCAGCAGCAACACGGTCCTATTTGTGCCCAGACCCAGCAGCAGCACCAGCTGGCGCTCGAGCGGTTCGCACAGCTGCAACAGCAGCAGTACCAGCAGCACCAGGCTGCTTTCCAGCATGAACATCAAGGCCGAGTCCGGTTCCATCGCAGACCATCTCTGCAGATTGGATTGACGACCCCAGGCATGTCACCAATGGCGCTAACCAGTGCTTCGGGCCCGCTGTCGACCGTTCATGACGAAGAGATGGTCGGCATCGAGGGGTAGATATCCGCGCGTCAATTGCCATTCGTTTTTTCTTCTCATTTCTTTCTTTGTTACTTGCTGTATTCATAAGTTTCATATCATACCCATTCATTGTCTTTTTTTTTTTTTTTTTTTGCCTTTGTGTTTTTTGAAGTTCCTTCTGCATTAGTCTTTTTTCCCTCGTACATAATAAATATAATGCATTCCCACTCTATGCATCTCAGTATCGAGAACAAAGATGATGATGAAAACGAAGTGGGAATGAGAGTATTTGAGTAGATTGGACAGTAACGAGTTCATCTCTTGTGCCATGACTCAAAGTGAAAAAAAAAAGGGAATTTCGGTCCGCACCATGGGGTGAAATGCTACCATAAACCTTCAGTTTAAACCATCAACCATCTCCTAGAAAAAAAAAAAAAAAAAAAAAAAAAACGGCTACCCGCCAAGTTAAATCGTCCTGGGGCTTGGGATTTTTCGCGCCAAAAAAAAAGTATGCGCTCTCGCCAAGGATTGTTACACCGCCGGCTGCGTAACGCAGTACAGTCCTCTGTCCCCCGAAGAGCCGTGTACAAGGTTAACGGAACCAAACAAACATTAATCCGCGATTCCACACCACGCCACTTACTCGTCGAGCTCTGTCTCCCGCCGTTACTTTTCGCTCTATCCAAAGGCGCCCAGCCATGTCAGGATGTGGACTTGCTCCAACGCGTTATCGTCCCGCTGAAGTCCGATCAGCCAACATCGTTCGTTCGTTCGTATTTTTTTTTTTTTTTTTTTTTGGCGATATTCTTGGTGAATGCCCTATAAGGCAGCTGTGAAATATAGTCTAATCGCTAGTCGAGTGGACATCTCACTCGCCAGAGATCAACTATGCCTTTGTCCAAGGTCTTGTCAGTGATAGTATGTACAAAGTAACCGTACGTGTCAGTGGATGTTCTTCTTTTTCAAAGGCCTCTCTGTTACAGTTACACCATGACAACAAGATAACTGAATCAGCTGGAGGCGCTACAGCTACTTGATCCGGATGCGATACAGCCTGTCGTCCGATGCATGCGTCCGACTCTCTCTCTCTCTCTCTCTTTCTCTCTCTCTCTCTCTCTCTCTCTCTCTCTCTCTCTCTCTCTCTCTCTCTCTCTCTCTCTCTCTTCTCTCTCTCTCTCTCTCTCTCTCTCTCTCTCTCTCTCTCTCTCTCTCTCTCTCTCTCTCTCTCTCTCTCTCTCTCTCTCTCTCTCTCTCTCTCTCTCTCTCTCTCTCTCTCTCTCTCTCTCTCTCTCTCTCTCTCTCTCTCTCTCTCTCTCTCTCTCTCTCTCTCTCTCTCTCTCTTTCTCTCTGTCTTTTTATCCTAGCGACTGACCCCCCACAGTCTAGACGTCCTAGTCCAACCGCCACTTCCAGATTCCGCTATTGACCGAGCATGCTGTCGGCCCACGGCCCCTGCATGATTTTTGAAAACCTTACCAGTCTCTTGATTTTCAGGGCTGATGGACACTTCTTCGCCCTCATCCATAACTCTATACTTTCCTCACTATAAAACTGCCCATGAACTGTACATGCTTCCGCCGGATCTAAAACCTCAATATTCTGCTCCTAGCTTCCTATACCGCATATATGTATTTTTAAAGCGATCGCAGCTGCAGTCAGTTACATCCTTGACACCTTGAGGGCGGCTAAGACTTGGGGTATTGTATTGAATCAGATTAGCTTTTGTGAGGTGCCTCCGCCAGTTGATCAGATTCTCGGCCCCTGATCTGATTCAAGTCCCTGTGGTCGCTGTTTATTGCTCCCCCTTCCCCTCCCTCCCACGATATTCTGCCCCTTCAGGAGGCCATCCGCAGAGTGGCGTCCCAATTTACTCTGGATAACGCTTTCTCCTCCACGGTGTCTCCGTCCATGTATACGGTCGATGTCGTTGGTTCAACCACGAGCGTTCTTCCTCAAGGGTCCTCAGCAAGGGCCTCGCGGATACAACAGAGTACAGTTATGAGGAGATCCAGTCTATGGTTATCGGGATTGGTGGGACGGTCCCGGGGTGCGGACTCAGCCTATTTACAGCCTTCGGCCTCGATAGTCTTCAAAGATCCCTGACACCCATTGTCCGCCTGCGAGAAAGGAGTACAACCATCGTCATTGTTCGAAGACTGAATTATAAACCGCAAACTATAAACAACAGCCTTCCTTCCACCGTGGTGCATTCCAGCGAAAAGTGTGAGACACGGCTTACGACGAGATGGAGTAATGAGCTTACCGACATCGAAAAAGGCGAATGACAGCAATAAAGAGCTAAAAGCGTTAGCGGATGGTCATAGAAGGCATTTTTTTTTGAAGAGGTTTCGGACTTTTTCTTGCTGATGATCGACGAAAAGTCCCGAGTTATGGAGCTGCAGATAAATGGCGGATAAGAAGTGGTTAAAGAGTATTCGGGGCTGGTTCGAGACGTGTTGTGAGTATGGGGACGCAAAGGTGGAAATGGAGGTGTGCACAGCAAAATCATTTTCAGATCGGCAGCGCCAGTGTGACGTCCCAAAAAGGAAACACTGTGCCGTAGAACAGTGGGCTTTTGACCACAGCCCTGTCCTCGCTCTCAGTGGATTCCAGGCGAGATATCTTTTATGAAATGTCAACGAATTGGTCATTGGGGCCGTTTAATAAAAAAAAGAAAAAAGAAAAGAAGGCGGCTTGTTTTGCTGCGTGTAAGTAGCGTACGCGAAGAAGAAGAATAAAAAAAATGCAGTTGCCCATATGGGTCCATGGTAAAAAAGATAGACAGGAGCGTACGACAGGATTAGGTGGTGCGACCGCCTATTCTCAATTAATGCAAGAATAATTTCTCGAATGCCATTTGATTTCGCATGGAGAAAAAAAAAGAGCGGTCTCAATTCCAACCTCGAGTTCTCGCCTCTTCTGCTGCATCCCAACCGCCAGTGCGCGTCTCATGGTGGTGCTGCTGCTGCATGGGATTGCTACCCCAAGCCCCGCCAGAAGCCGACTCCGGGGGCGCTGCAGAAAGATTGGTTGTCGGGAAAATACTCGTGGAACCACCGCCCATCGGACCATCAGCCAGGGGATGGTCCATAGGACCACCACCCATGGCGCCACCGCTTCTTGGGCCATCACCCAAGGGACCGCCCCCTATAGGACCACCGCCCATGAGATCATCTCCCATAGGAGCACTGCCCATAGGGCCACCGCCCATAGGACCACCACTCGTGGATCCATGATCGTACGGCATCATATAGGACCCATCCGCATTCAAGTTCATCTGCTCGAGCAATTCGGGATCTACGAAATCATTTTCGTACGACCTACCAAAGGCATAAAAGGATAAGAGGTCTTGCGTTAGACAATCGGGTCCAGTGCTGTAGCAGCGGCTAGGTCCTCGAAAAGAAAAGGTTACAACCCGCAAACCTACGCGTTTTCGGACACGAATTCACTCAAAAACTCGGGCACGGCCTGCTCGCATTCGACCAACAACCTAGTCAGCTGCGGTGCAATCATATAATTTCGATCATTGTAAAACGTCGTGGCCAGCCCTGGGTTCCCTGCACGGGCCGTGCGTCCAATTCGATGGACGTACTCGTCAATGTCTTCACAGAGGTCATAGTTGACAACATGCAGCACATCTTTGATGTCCAATCCTCGAGCCGCGACTGCAGTAGCGATAAGGATCGGGCTCTTGCCAACCTTGAATGCCTCTAGTGCGAGTTCGCGCTCATGCTGACTTCGGTCTCCATGAAGGGATATGCAAGGAAAATATTTGTTGTAGAGTACATCGTCCAGATAATCCGCTTTACGTTTCGTGTCCACAAAGATCAATGTACGCGATGGCGGCTGTGAGAGCAGTAGTTCTATGAGCGTCTCCTCCTTGTCATACTCCTCAACTTTGATAACTTTTTGCATGATGTCAGTTGTAGTGCCACCGATCCTACGAGCATTGAGAAGAGATGCAGTAAAGGTCAGCCAAACCTGGAAGGGGCCAGGATGTACAGAATGTTGTGTATGTTATGCTGCAATGTCAGCCATGTACCTTCCGATGCGGAGTCGGCAGTAGTCTTCTTTCATGAAGTCACGCGCCATAGCCTGGACTTCCTTCGGAAACGTAGCACTGAACATCATCATGTGCAGCCCTTCGTCCCTTGGGAGATCTGAAGATAATAAAACACGGCGGATGGTGGGCGCAAATCCCGCATCAAGAATCCTGTCTGCCTCATCCAGGACCAAGTACTTGACATGATCCAACGCGACTGCGCCTCGTTCCATGGCATCCATCAGACGTCCAGGTGTGGCAATAAGGACGTCACATCCCTTAGCCAGCTGTTCCCTCTGAGCCCTCATCTCGGCACCTCCATAAATGAGCACAGGTCGGACAGGACTCTTGTATGTAAACTAAATCATGATCAAGTAGGAGAGGAAAGTCGAGTTGAAACGCATGCCGCTTCAAAAGCAAAAGCATGAATGGCGATAACACAAACCAGAGGTCCTTACGCGTCTCGTCTCATCAAAAATTTGAATACCGAGCTCTCGTGTAGGCAAGATAATCAGTGCTTGAGGTGATGCCTTGGTCCTCCGTGCTCCGGGTCGGTTGACTGTTGATTCTGCAGTGCGCGAAAGCTTTGTAAGGATTTTTGACAGAACAGGAAGAAGAAACGCCGCCGTTTTTCCTGAGCCGGTCTGGGCGCAAGCCAAAAGATCGTATCCAGACATAAGCAGCGGTATGGCGTTCTTCTGTTGAGTTCCACAAACAACACGTTGGATTAGAATTCGCCGAAATGCCCCGGTGAATGTTAGGAGGCGCGGTGGATCAAGAGTCAAAGTCCTGAACTTGCCTGGACGGGTGTTGGGTCCTTATAGTGCATCCGTTGGATGTTTTCGAGTATGGTCGGGTGGAACTTTGCTTGGTCAAACTATTGGAACCATAAATATCAGAAGAGAAAGATGAGGATACGCGCTATTGATGGGAGTGCTTGGCAGACAGCGCCAGCGCAGGCTGCTGAAGAGACTTGCTGCCAAGAAACGTACGCTTGTCAGAGGCGTGTACGACTCAGGGCCACCTTGGCGGCTGACGTTGATCCTGCTGAGGTTGCTAAAGGTGTCTCCCGCACGGACGCGACCTTCATCGTCGTAGAGCTCGGCCTCTAGCTTCAGGTTAGGCGGCGCAGTGCCCTCGGTATAGTCCTCTTGCCATTCGTAAACGGGCTTTTCGCTCGCCCAGGCAGGCAGTTCGCCTTTGTAATGAAAGTCGTCTGGGGTCCTAGGGCCCCACATTTCCTCGACTTTGTCTTGGTTCATTTCCGGGGTGAATGGGGTTTTGAATGAAGCAGCGAGCAGGGCGATGTGAAAGCAAGAGTTGTTTGGGAAGGGAAGGGTCAAAAGAAACTCTATTTATTGGAGGTGCAGGCACCAAAATAATTCGTGACTAAACATCACCCAGTCCCTGTCGCACTGGCCATGGCATCTCCTGACTTGCGTGGCCTGCTCCGCTGGAGGTTCAAGTAGGTAATGGTCGAATCCGCCGCTACGACCCCGAAAGTAATCCTGGACATGAAAACCTTTTGTCAGCTCAATGCGGATGAAACTATATGCTATCATGCAGAGCATCCCAGCAATTAAATACGCCTAACGTGCATATCTGTGTGAGAGAGGCGGGAGGCGGGGGAGGGGTCTGTGCATACCTAGACGCGGCACCATCTTTCAATCGCGGATCCTGCTCCATTGAAAGAGCAGAGAATGTGTCATCTAGCTTGGCAACAGACCATGGCTCGCTCACCAGGGAGGGAATGACCAAATATCGGTTACTCTGATAGACGCGAGAGAAGTTGACATAAACAATGCAGAACATCAGTCGCCAATCGGTCGCACCCACTGCTCATGTTATGCTGAGATGACGACCCACTATCTCGGTATGTCTACTGCATAGTTACATTATCTGGATGTAGTCCTTCGATCAAACATCGTTCAAGCAATGGTGCCTGAATAACATGTACGTCCTCAAAATCCTTGGCTACATCCAGGTTCAGGAGTGTCCGTTAGATAAATGTAATAGCCGTGAGCAAGAATGTCATATCCCCGCACCCACCCACCAACGCTATGTTAATTGTATACGATACATTCAACAAGATCGAGATAGACCTGGAGCAGTTGTTCGGCGTGGTCTGGAAACAGCAAGCACTCTTCCTTCAATTCCTCGAACTATACGATAGGTACAATTTCCCAAACCAGATATGCGTGAATATTGGCGCGATGACTACTTCAGCATCGGCTTCACATGTCTCGGTAGAGGTTCGGAGCATCTGAGGGTACCTTGGGATGCGATTCCATGGCATCGTCCAAACTGCGCTCAAAAGGATTAACTTCAACAAACACCAAAACGAATCCCAAGGCGAAGTGGTGAGGAGCGGTGAGATGGTCACATGACCCCCTTAGCTCACCTCACTCAGGTTCAACGGCTGATCATCGCTCACCTCCTTCCCTCATACATCCAACACACGCCAGTAGGCCATGACACGCGCAACCGAGGCCGCAACTTTCTTTGGCATCACCGCCACGATATACCTGGCCCTGCTTTTCCAGTGGCTCCCCATCACTCTGCCTCAGACTGTCCAGGAATTCACACTCCCTGTTGTAAGCGAACGCAAATGCAAGATGGACATCAGCGTCAGAGCGCAACAGAACCAGGACTTGCAGACAACTTTCTTACCACGTCTTTTTCATTAATTCTGTATAATATGCTTATAGCTTCCTTGGTGGGCATTGGTTACTTTTGGCGCCTACAGTCTCGGAAATATTGGCTATCATGTCCTGACCTTCCGCGATTGTCCAGAGGCATTCGATGAGCTCCAGATTGTACGTATCTTCTTGGTCCGATTGTTTAACATGCGCGGCTGCCTTGCTATCCCTAATTCTAATTGTTTTTGCCTAACTAATGTAATAGCAAATCGCGCAAGCCCAGAGTGATTTGAGAAGCAAGGGAGTCAGGATCTAGGGTTATGGGAGAATATAGGCGACCCTTATCCCACAGGAAGTTTACAGTTGCCACACTGATATTGAAATCCTTCAGCCTACCCACCGTTAGCATTCCTCCTCAATAAAACGTGCTGTCATTGAAAATCAGGAGTAGCCATTCCATGAGTATCTATGTCAAATGGCGTTGAATGCGGTGTGATTATTTATTCGATTGCTGTTTGTAGGTGTACAAATACGCGGCGATGAAACTACGACACGATGGACTTGTTCCTTGCTCTGTTCCTGAATCCCTAGTTGTCTTCATTCCCAGCAAAACATGCTGCAATATGGTGGTGGGCGCTGATGGGTCATATGCTGCTTCCTGTCTCATCTTAGGCTGCCTTCTTCTCGACCTTCTTCTTGCTCTTGATCATGATCATGGCCAAGAACGTCAGGATAACGGTCAGGCCAAAGACCAGAAGTACACATGGGATGCGGATTGCGTACTCGCGGGGAGGGAAATAAGCATGAAGGAAATAGGTCTCGTCGACAAAGGGCTAAAATAAGAGAAATAAAAACCTCAGTTCCATGGTCATCTGTCGCATCTACCTTGGCTGAATCGACAACTTCGCCGGTCAACATTACCATGACAATGGCCCACAATGTATAGTAGACAAAAACGACGGTACTGAACGTCAAGAGGGACGCACCCACAAGTTTATCCTGTCCACTGGCCTAAAAAAAAAAGAACCGATCGCGTCCCAGACAGATGTGAGGTGGTTAGTTCTGGTTGATGCTCGAGCACAGTTTTCGTCCCTGGTACGATCCTGTTTACTGTCTATAATCGGATGAGTGCTGTATCTCTGTATTATGCGTCCCATTAGAACATGTCCCTGATTATGCGCGGCCGTACCATGGTGGTTGTTGGATGTGAGAGGCGGACGTGAAAATGCTGAACAACGAAGGATAGACCTCCAGTGGCAGCTTCACACCTGGATATTCAGACTGCACGTACAATTTCGCTTGTACGTGTCCGCCTTGAGGTATGAAGCGACGAAGCCACAGCCGGACACTCGCTCTCTCCCTTCGGCCATTCATCCGTCCGAATCCAAGCAATCTCTCCACTCAATCACATCAAATACATCTCGTCATGGAAACCACCACTGCTGACAGCTGGGAGTACCCCACCCACCGCAAATTCGACGACGTTGCTCCTCTCTCTGAAGTCGATCCCAATGACAAGGCCGGTAAGGATCCTATTCACTGATCTGTTCCGGTCCGGGTATTACACTCAGCTACAGCCGACAGACAACAACGCATCCAGGATACGACCTAGACTATGCGCTTCAAGGAGACGCTTGTGGACAGTATTAAATATGTAGCGACCTAATACTCGGCATCGATACACGCTGCATATTGTGTTTGCATCCCAGGCTTAAGGACTCTGTCCTTGAATATAACAACGCGCACCGCACCACTTCCGCTCAAAACACACGGCGTTTTCGTCATTTCTTATGCAGACCTCATTTCCTTCCACATCCTATCAGGACTTAATCGCTCGTTCAATTGCTTCATATCTACCCTTCTCACACTATCTTCAATCTCATTTTGCCACCGCTTCATTTTGTCATCATTTAGCTGTTCTCCGTTCCCGCGCCCTCGCCGTTCGTGAGTCTTGGATCAAGGCAATGGAGGGTCGCATCGTCCAGAAGGAGCTGAAGAAGTGCTACCGTGCTGAGGGCGTCAACCACTACCAGAACTGCAAGCATCTTGTCGACCTCTATATGACCAGTCTCAGGGAGAAGAGAGTCCAGGGCTGGAGAAAGGTCGGAAAGCCCGAGGAGATTGCATAAACACTCGCCGCATGGACAGATAGAACGAGAAGCAAGAAACATAGAAGGATTTTTTTTTCTCTTTTTTGTTCATAGCCAATGGCAACACATTCGGCTTCTTTGGTCAGGAAACAACAAAAAGGGTGCGAGTATCGTATAATAAAAGGAATCGATTACCAATTTACATAAATGCTATGGAGCTTGACAGGATGCGTTTTTATTACACGGTTCAGTCGGTCTTGATATCAAAGAAACTGGTCGATTTCTGCGAATGTGAACGCGAATGCGGAGGAAATTGCATAGAGATGTTAGGTCAGCCAGAACCGAGTAAAAAGAAAAAAAAAGGAACAAGCAAAAGATCTTTTGGATTCATCCTTACCGCTGTAACCGACTAAGCGCGAGATAGGCGAGCGAAGATGAACCAAGGCGTAGATGCCAAAAATGCACATGGACAGGCCCATGGTCAGCATGTATGGCGCACCCTCTACTCCTAATGAAAAAAAAAACATTCATAGTTATCAGATAAAGTAAACGATATGGACGGCCAAAATGGGCAACATTGCAATCAGCATAGCACATTGAACAAAAGGAACTGAAACAAAATGTACACGCACCAGACGGGCCACACCAATCCCCATGGCCATGATAGTCATCCTGACAAAGCTGCAGCTCCTTGCAATGATGCTCTGCGCAAAGACCGCCGCTGACCGCGCATAAGGTTCCGCCCGCGGCCGACAGGAACATCATAAACCTGGATCCCCACCTTGGATTAATCTCGTACACAGCGACGTGGCTCTTTTGGATCACGATCGACCCGTTAACGCTCGCCACGATTTGCTCCTCTGTCGACCCTTCAAGGTCTGCCTCCTCTTCAGAAGAGTCATTTGATCCAGTTGACCGAGCAGAATTACAACTGTCAAAGCAGCATTGACGATCCACAGAAGGAGATTTACTTAAAATGCTGCTGCAGTATCGACTCGCTGTTGTCGAAACCAGGATTTCGTTAAAGCTGTCGAGCTGTCCCAAAGGTATGTTGCCAATGGCCGTAGCCTGGTTTGGCTCACTCGTGAATGAATCTGTGCCTGAGTATGAATGGAAGGGTCTGCAAAGGCCTGCTGCCGCAGAAGTGGCCGTGCTCGTGCCTCCCGCTGTTGACATGACCGGTGTCGCCGACGACGACGACGACGACGACGACGGTGGAGTGGGAACACCCGTCGAAACAACCACGCCCGGCGGCAGAGGTGTTCCTGGCGCCACTACAGGCGAGGGGGCATTTGTGCAGACGGTCGTACTTGTGTTTTTGATCTCGCCAAGCAGCCCTCCAGATTCATACGAGACCAGCGAGAACGGAAAGAGGACCGATGAGCTCCGTTTCCAGGACGAAATTTTGCTTACACCAAAAAGCACAGAGTTCCGAGAGCCGTTGTTGCAGTTGTTGCTATTGGGTTTATGGTCATTGATGTCGTTATTGCCGGTATCGCTGTTACTTGCGCGCGCTGCCAGCGGCCTTCCCGACCATAGGGATGTTGTCAAGATGCGATGTGATTTCGAAGGGGTCGCGCTAGTGGACAAGGTTTTGCGCGTCTGTAGAGGAGAATGCTGATATGAATGGTGTCGTTGTGAATGCAGGTGAGAATGCTGCGTTGTAGGCGAGTTGGAGGAGGTGCGCCGAGAAGATATCGAGGGAGACGAAAACGGCGATCCAGACTCTGTCGACTCTGACGTCCTTACATTTGTCGGCAAGGCTGATGTGGATTCAAGCGACCTCTTGAAGAGAAAGGACGAGGTATTCTCAATCAGCGCCGGCAAAAATCGAGGGGTAGCATGAGTGGATCGAAGGCCTTGTGTAGACAATGGGTGGGGATTTGGTTGCACCTGAAATCGACTTTGCAGCCTTGGAGTATCTTCTAGGAGAGGATGAGCTCGCGATAACCATGTGTGCTTTGGCGTTATATCTTCTGCTTGCGTTTGTTGCTCATGCTGCTGCTGTTGCTGTTGTTGTTGTTGTTGTTGTTGTTGTTGTTGTTGTTGCTGCTGTTGGCGATCCTGTTGCTGGGTGGTACTGAAGGCGGAATCTGATCCAGTAGCTGCCGGAGGTGATGTCGTTGATGCTTCAAGCGCGTCTTCCAGAGAACCACCTTTTTTTAACGTAGGAACTAGAGCAGCTGGCGAAGATCCAATGCCGTGAAACGTCTTTGCGCTGTCCCGCACACTCATCGGTGCCATCTGCAGCCACGGTGTCGGTACGCCGAGCGAGGCACCATCCCCCATCCCCAACAGCTGACTTTTGTGCCGACGACGCTTGGATATATCTGTTACCAAAGGCTGGAATATCATTCCCTGACGTGTGCTACCATACTGCCCTCCCTGTAGAGCATTTCCGCCATTGCCTGCACTGGAGTATGAGTGGGCATTGGAGGGGATGAACACGGATAGTGGCCGTGCTGGTAGCCTGACAAGCTGCTGCCGCCCCTTGGGTATTGATGGCGTTGCAGCAGAAAGAGAAACGGGCTCGATAGAGGCATAGAATCCTGATCCGAGCGACATCCTGCTTGCATGCTTCCTGCTATTACTCAACTCGCGTCTACCAGCGCTTGTGTGTAGTTGGTTGACCACAGAACTGCCATCCTTAGCTGCACCGCCTATTGCTCTTGTAATCGTGTGTGTGGTTGCGCTGGTGATATTGCCGTCAATATTGATCTTGACGCTTTTGCTGAGAGACCGCTCCTTCTCTGCTGCTGAACGCGGCGTAAATAGATCTTCTGTCAAAGCAGGATAGGTGTTTTTTGAGCAGATATCCAATGTAAGGGAGTGCTGAAGCTGAGGCTGTGAGGAACCGCTCATGGGCGGGGATTCCCAGATAACTTGGGACCACGGGCGCGGTCTCCATCGCTCTGTTGTGGCGGCGTTCCGAGTGATAGGCTGAGGACATGTCCTTGCACTGAAGCTTGAGGTTGAACAGAGGTCGTCTGACGATGGAGAAGTGCCAGGAAGTGATGACGGCGACCACGTCCCACCATTTCGGTGCCCAGTATTTAAAGAGAAGGGATCCCTGCGACTATAGAGTTGTTCGACACCATCATTGTGGTCGTTTTGCTCCTGGATATGGACTAATTTCGGCCGAAGGTCTACCCAATGGAAGGAGCTTCTTTGGTTGGACATATCATGTTGATGGCCGAATCCAACGGCTGCCGGTAACCGAGGGAGACCATCGGTGTGGCTCCCAGGTGGACCTATCCGGCAACCATGTATATCCTCACCCTCGTCACCTTCATCGTCACGATCATTGTCATCGTCGTCGTCACCCTGATCAACATCGTCGTAGTCAGTATCGTAGGAAGTGTCACTTTGATGTGTTGATGATGATGAGTCGAAGAGGGCTTTGGAAAATCCCCATACACTTGTTGGTCGTTGTTTGGCAGTTGATGAACCCTTGGTGTTGCTCTGTGCTTTGTGAGACGGGGTTTCAGGGGGGTCGGAAGTGTAGTAGGGTAATCTGGGTGAGAGGACTGACTGAAGTATAGACGATGTACACGGCAGGTGGACTCTCGGTGAGGCAGGGTTGTCTGAAGGTGCGTTAATTGAGGTACGAGAGGGCTGCTCCTGATGCTGTGGGCTAAGCCGATTGCCCGAGGATGCCGCAGTGTGAGAACGAACTAGATTCTTTTTCTTCTTGTTAGCGGACCAGGAGTCATAGTAGTCTGACATGGTACGTACGTCGCCTTTTGTCTGTATTTATGCGGAAGTTGAAGACGTGGGCAAAGGACAAGAACAGAGAGAGTAAAGCCAAGGGAAAAAATGATAATACCAGCTCATGGGGAAAGGCAGACTGAAGACAGATGGTCCCAGAGACTGGTCGGTCAATGAATCCTGGCTCCTGGGGATATGGTCTGTCAGGAGCCGTTTGTCCGTCTACATTTGATTTTGCCACCGAGAACCATTATCGGAAGAAATCTGGACCCAAGGACGATCGAGAATCTTTTCACGTTGGTTGATGGACGACGTGAGGAATTCCTAATATCTCCGTGCAGCGATAGAGATTCGACGCGCATGCGGGGGAAGATTAAAATATTACCATAGCCTTGGGATTGATTGAGATGATCCTAGCTTCATTTTCCTAAACAGCTAAAATGCATCGTAGGACAGCATGTACCGACGTGCCGAAGTTAGCGACCGTACAAACACAAACACAGATGCACGACAGCAAAGGAATGCTTGGAGCGCTGGAGGCGGATGCTCCTTGGCAGAGCACAATGGTCCATTGCCGCGGCATATGTCTGCAGATTTGTGGGTGAGGCCCTTACCGGATCGCTCCCACCCTCCTCTTAGCATACGAGGCCCGTTTTCGTGTTTTTTGTACTATTGCTGCAGCATAGAGAACGCGTACTGTGTGGACACATAGATAGGAACATGCACATAACGCGTCTGCTCGATTTTAGCGAGAGTGATATCAACGACAATAGCAACAATAACAGCGCCAGCAGCAGAAACAAAGCAGTAAGCTCCATCAGCCCAGTCCACCGAAAAAAAGAGCATTAATAGTTTCTATGCTATTTTTGAACGAGATTGTTGTTGAGAGCTCAGTCCAGTGGTACAACATGTACAAGAGGTTGAAGGCTGCAGAACACCCCTCTCCGTACTAACAGTTCGAGTATCCTCTGATCTTCTTTGATCCTGCACCCCCTTGCATCATCATCGCCCCTCTCTTTATTCCATTCCCCATTCACTTCTTTGTTTTCCACATCTCTCCCTTCTTCCCCCTCTCTCTTTATCGACTGAACCAGAACAAAAGGACTTAGCACCTCCAGTCTTTTCCTGCTCACGCCCTCAAGAAGCCCTGCATACTGTGAATAGATCACACCAAGACCCTGAGCTTACTAAGCCTTGTCGAGCCAAGTCGAGTCGACCAAATATCATGGTGAGCCATGCCGCGGCCCATGAGGACGACGAGCCACTGTTGCCGCTGGTGGATCGCGACGATGATCTCCCCACCGGTTCCTCTAAACAGAAGCAACACCAACGACACAAGCAGCAACAGGACGAGATCGTAAAGTCATCAAAACTATCGGGATCAACAGTGCACGACTCGATATCGACATCACTATCAGGACCAGAGGACCCAGAGCACCGTCATCATCATCATCCTCATAAGGACTCGGCAAAGCGGCTATCAATATCCAGCGAGTGCGGACACGATCACAGTCATGACCAACCCCCTTCTTTCTCGGATGATGGAGAGGATGAGCCTATGTTGCTGGAGACACAGAAGGAGTCGGAAAGGGACAAAAAGCGACTCAAGATTGCAATCGGACTCTGTGGAACGTTTTTCGTTATCGAGCTTTTAGGCGGGCTGTGGTCAGATTCATTAGCATTGCTGAGCGATTCCTTTCACCTACTTACAGGTATAAAGAACTATATTCATGTTATTTCTAGCATGGATGAGAATACGAGGGGTTTCCATATACCCACCGAAATTTGTCTGAAAGGCTGACCATCTTTTCACTGTGAATATAGACATTACATCCTTTATCATCTCGCTGGCAGCAATCTATCTGTCCCAGCGCTCCTCAACCGCGACACATACATTTGGATACCACCGCGCCGAGGTGCTTGGAGCACTTTTTTCCATCTTTTTGATCTGGGGCCTAACTCTGATGCTCGTAGTGGAGGCGTACGATCGAGTGAGGTATCCGGTTGATATCGATGGCAAAACTATGTCGGTCGTTGCAGCCCTGGGAGTCTTTGTCAATATCCTGTAAGTATTTCAAATTTCGCTCTATGGATGCACCTTTTTGTAATGACCATGCTAACATACCGCGGTCCAAATTATCAATGCATTTAGTCTAATGTTTGTCCTTGGCGGTCACCACCATCACCACGGGGATGATCATGAACATGGACATGGACATGGACATGGACATAGCCATGCGACACACCAGGATCATGTACCGCTGCAGAGCGAGGATGACCACGATCTCGCTCTGGATGGTACGACACATAAGACGGTTCCTTCCCAGGAACACGACCACAGCCACGATCACCAGCATGGTCACTCTGGACACGACCACCATCATCATCACCACGTCAGTCTCAATATCACAGCTGCGACACTCCACGTCCTTGGCGACCTGCTGTCGTCCATTGGCGTACTGATATCCTCGCTGGTGATTACGTTCTTTCCATCATTGACCTACTTGGATCCAGTCTGCACGTTCGTATTCTCGATCCTGGTCATTGCCACCACAATCGGTGTATTCAGGCGTTCCATCTCAATATTGATGGAGAGCGTTCCGCGGGGCATCGATTCTGAGGAGGTTCGGGAGGCGATTTGCGATATTCCAGGAATTCTTGAGGTCAAGTCGTTGCGTATCTGGTCTCTGACGATCGGACGAGTTGCTCTAGCCGCCACAGTATACTTGCAGCCGGAGGTTCGAGATTTAAGGAGGGCGGCATCGATCGTTGCGAGTGCGCGGCGGATGATCAGGACACGATATGGGATCAAGGAGTGCACGGTCCAGGTCGAGGTGTACACCATGCACGCTGCTCAATCTCAGTCATCCCATATGCGTATAGTGGACCCTGCTCGAGCAAAAACCGCTGCTCCCGATAACAGCAGTCATTCACATCTACCAATGGATACCCTTGCCAGGCACGATCAGGACATTATATTCTCAATTGGGGACGAGGATCTGGACGAGACGATCGCTCACAAGCAAGGCAGCCATACACACTCCCATCTACTCTCCTATCAGATTACTCGGGCTGGCACACCACTTGACCAGTACCGCGGCAATCGCCATGCGAGCGATGATGACGAAAGCGAGACCGAGATGGAACAGGAAACTTCGCCGCCTACGGAACACAATCAGTGGGCATAGTTCTTTTTTTTTTTCTTTATGCTCATCATTTCATACATAATAAACTTCATGTTTTAAAGAACAGTTCATGTTCTGACATTATTTTAATGGAGAGAAGGGAGGAAGGGAGCTACAAATACAAATGTTTCTACGCGGCTTTGATGACAAGGAAGCACACGCTGGTAAATTAACGATAAGAAGGCACAAGAGTAAAAAAAAAAAGAAGAGTGCATTAAACTAAGGAAATAATAGAGTGGGAAAACGGTGAAGAGGTATATCAGATTAAGAAACGTTCGCTGGACATATGTGCAACGATCCATACGCAAAGAGCTGGAACGGGGACCAGCTATGAACCATAAGTCTCATATTGTCATAGATCCTTGTCAATGAGGAAGAGACTTGTTGATCACTTGAAGAGACTCGTCAACTTCTGAATCAGGTTGCGGTGCTCTTTGCCACCACCATGACCACCGCCTGCTCCTCCATTTGCACCGTGCCCATGTCCACCATAGTTAGATCCACCATGGCCGAAACCTTGGAGCTGATTGTATCCGTAGCTGCCTGTTCCATAGAGCGTCCCTTCCTTCATTGTCACCTCCGGCCGGGAAAGAACCTGCAGGCAATCGTGGTGCCCCAGATCTTTGGCGAGGGTCAGTGCTTGAAGCAACACCTTGGGCGTAATCACGTACGCTGGATTCGCGCCCATGTTGGCGTTGGCGCTCGCGTTCGTAAACGAGCCGACATGGCCGCTTCCGCCCTGAATCGCCGTCAGCTTGGGAGACCCCACGCTATCGGCAGCGTTGGTGCGATGGCTCATATAGCCTGCAAGGACCGCTGATCCTGGAGAGGACTGTGCAGAGGATGGTGAAGGCATTGATGGCGGTGTTCCGTGGCCCCCAACCCCGTTTCCTGCGAATGGCATCGGGATAGATCCTCCATGGGGCAAATTCGGAATGTTGACATTGCCGCTACTGCCATTGTTGGTCGTGTACGATGAGGCGGAGGAGTGATGCAAGAAAGAGTGCTGAGGCCCAAAAAACGACTGGGAAGACTGTGTTGATGAGGGTGACGGTGAGGGCGAGGAAGATGTTGCCGCTGGTGCGAAGCTGGTGGGAGCGTAGAAAAACTTGAGCAAAAGTCTCACAAGATGGACCTTGTCGTCGTTCACGGCTTCCCACAATGGATCATTGAAGTATCCCGTAGTCAGTATTCCGTTTGAAATCGCGCCATCTCCTTGTCCTAGCCCGATGCTCTGGCGCCTATCTCGGCCCCAGATCAGATACGGATTCGCTCCATACGCCATTAGAATCTCCACCTCAGCCCAGAGCTCGCGCTCTACTGCAATCAGCAGAGGAATAATTTTCTTGTCGTTGGCGGTGCAGTTGACATCCGCCTTGTTCTCGCACAATAGGTGGACAACTTCCTCCGCCAGTGTGTCTCCTTTCGTCATAAAGAGTAAAACAACATGGAGGACAGAGACACCTCGTTCGTCATGCACGTTGGGGTCTGCTCCTTGAATCAAAAGTTGTTGCGCTGCCTTCCATGAGCGGAAACGAACGGCCGTATAGAGCGGACTTATTGGCGATCCATGCTCGAGTCGAATATCAGGCGCGTTTAGGAGGAAGACGAGACTGGCCTGAGAGTGCGCGATAATGGCTAGATGCAGCAGAGAGTTTCCGTTTGCGTCCACAATGTTGGGGTCGCCGCGCTGGGCCAAATAAAGCTGAAGGACTGCATCCTGCGCCGGTCGCTCCTGCAATGCCCGAATGACTTGCTCCTCTGTAACAATGGCTGCACCAGTGCTGTTTCCGCCCCGCTTGCCATCGTTTGAACTAGCCGTGGATTGGACGCTAGCCCGATTGGATTGTGTTCCTGCACGTAACGTCTCCACGCCCGGGAGGGGCGACCTTACTGGTATGATTGGCGGCGACGCTCGATGATTCTGTTGCCCAGGAATAAACGGTGATGAGGTAGGTGATCCTGGAAGTTTGATAGTGGAGGCTGAACTGTTGGAACTGCCAACACTCCCATTGTTCACAGAGTACTGTAGCATGTGCGTGCTCGAGTTTTGTTGACTGTACAGGGTATTGAATGTGCTCGCGTTGCTACTGTTGCTTTCTTCCCGTTGTCGCGGCGCTTTGGTTAGTCCGATGTCCTGTGGCGGTACGAGTGGGGACCCGACATGTCTCTGCTTTGACGGTGATGACATTGCGGCAGCTCCTGCAAGCGTTCCAGCTCCTGCGGATACAGATTCCAAGATCGAGGCCGTGACAGGCCTCGCGACTGCCGCCGGAAAGACACCGACAGCCAACACAGCCCCCGCATGATCGATTTGCTCGCCCAGAATCCATCCATCTTCGAAAACATGTATCAGCCGCACTTGGTTCCCTGGTCGAAGTGTTAGCTCATCCTGGGCAGTGGCGATGTAGGGGTGCACGATACTCAATCGACCACCGGACTCGGTTCCTGGAATAGCTCCTGAACGCGCAGTGACTTTTGCCGATGGAATATAGCACTGACTCTCCAACGAACAATACTGCAATGGGAAGAAGCCATGGCGCGCGCTTGTCCTCTTATCGGGCCGCATGACCGAGCCCAAGCACCACAGGTCGTCAAACTCCCGAATGACTAGTAAAATGTCGCCCTTTTTGAAGGATAGCTCGTCGTGGTCGCGTGCGATGTAGTCCCACCATGCGTAGTATTGGGTTACATACTGAAAAGAAAGCGGCCGCCCGCTGGTCTTTGGACTGGAGGCAGTGTTCAATTTGGCGAGCGGCGGAAGTGGTGGCAAGACTGGTGTCGAAGGCGAATAATTCGCAGTCGGACGTGATGTCGGGTCAACGCTCTTTGGTCCCGAGTTGTTGGTGTCGATAAGGTTGGTGTATGAAGAATTGGGCGAGAAAGACATGGTGGAAGCCGTGGTGACAGGTGCTAATACAAGATTCGAAGACGAGGCCGACGACGGGCTTTGTGTGGACGGCAGTGCGGATGTGGAAAGATTCTTGTGGCGAAAGAGTCCGAAAGGAGTCGTCTCTTGGCTGAGAGGCGACCGGGCAGAGGGCTGGTGAATATTATAGAATGGAACGGGGCCATTGCCGACTGCCGATGGTATAGAAGACATACTGCCCAGACCAGTCAGAGTCCCTGAACTGCCGTTGCTTGCGCCGTTGCCGGTGCTGCCACCGGAGACAGACCCAGGCAGCCGTGGTCGCTGGTGTTGAGGCTGTGGACTGGATATCATGTTGAGGGAGGTTGAAGAACGAGTTGGAATATGAGATAGGACTGAGAATATGGCGGTTTATTCAAGTCGGATGGTCAGGGTCATGTCTGGACTATGGTTGGTTCTGGTTGGCGCTGATTCCTCTTGTTCCTTTGGTTGCTCCTGGTCCTTTTGGTTGCTCTGATTCCAGTCGATGGTCGATGGTCCGGTTGCGCTATTTGCCTTTTGAGGCTTGATCGCAAAGAAAGGGAAGGGATCGCTTTTCACACTTTGCTACCCGTCTTTCCCTTTTCTCTTTCGATCGCTCTCGCTCTCGGCCGTCTGCTGAGTTGATGAACAGGAGCAATTAGGTGGGGATTCTATTATGGAGGCCAATATAGAAGGAGGAGAGAAAAAGAGAGAGAGAGCCGTGGATAAGTATTAGGAAGCTGTTGAGCGAGCATCATAGGAGCGTAAGAGGAGAGGAGAGCAATCAGACACGCACCAGAGAAGGGGGAGAAGAGGGTAGAGGATGAGGATGAGGATGAGGATGAGGATGAGGGATGACGATGACGATGAAGAGGATGTCCAGGTCAAGTGGAGTATGGGAGAGGGGGAGGAGGAGTGATGGAAAGTGATGGCAATGAATGAGGCGATGGAGCGAAGGAAGTGATGAAGGTGAAGGGGTGTTGGATTGGATGGTGAGAGTGTGATGGAAGAGAGGAAAGAGAGAGAAAGAAAAAGAGGCAGATTCTAGTATTATTTCCAACAGCTCACTTGCACTAGGGCTGGATGACCTGCCACTCGCGCCATGGTCTCCTTTTTTCTTTTTCATCGCCCGAGTAGCCATTTCAATACGCATCTCGGCCCGAAAACGAAAAAGCGCAACTATCCTTCGATACACTTATTACAACGACGTTATTTTTGAGCCAGGACTCCCCTGTCCTTGTCAAGACTACACAGCCATCAGGCTGTCGCAGGCACTCTGGCAATGGCAAAATGAACGCAATGGGTAGCAGCACGACAAACCCTAAGTGGAATAAAGGTGTGACATACCCCCAGTGAGTAAGCAACGGATATCTTGGTGATAAGTCTGGCATAAGCAGCTGCAGATAAACCGACTTGGCAGGTCCTACTTTTGCTCATTTCCATTGCGTTGGCAGGCACAAACACGCTCCAATTTAGAGGAAGAGCGTCTGCCTAGTCGTCTGTTGGAAGCCGATCATGTAAAGCTGATATGAAGGATTCATTCGAAAGTCGATGTTAGTGTTGACACTGAAATCATCGGCCCACCCTGCTTTGCAATATCCTCTGCCCTTGTGGGACACGTCGCATGGACACAATGGACAGCAAAACCCCCTGATGCAAGACTTTCTCCCACATGGCTTTCCTGTTGGGATGTTCAGATACATCACACTTCTCCTAGTCAAACAGGTTTGATTGTGTAGCGTTGTTCTACGTTTGCAAACAACGCACGTCTCGGTTTTTTCTTCAAGCGTTTTGCTCAACGTTGTCCTGGGAGTGAGGACTTTATTCAATAAGAGGTGTGCCGACTACATATCAATGCTCAAAAAGATTGTAGAAAACATTCAATGGCGCCTGCCGTGGTTGGGAGAAGACTCGATGTGTGGGTTGGTTATAGACTCGTAGAATCAGGAAACGCGTTTTTTTAGTGACCAAGCAATTGGAGCCAGTGAGATCGTGGAGTTGGACCTGCGAAGCTACAGATGGGCTATGTCATCACACATGTTCACCATGTGTCCAAGGTATGGACCATGGCCTGTCCATACCTTGACCATGATGATCTCGTTCTGCAGCGTTAAAAAAGTGCTCTTAGCTCCTGCATGGAGACCTTCCTCCCCCCTCTCTTTTATTACAACCCCCCTTTTTATTGGCACATCCAATGGGCGCTCCAGTAGATCACGCTGAGGGTCACATGAAGCTATCCAAGAAGAGGAAAATAAAAAAAAAAACCATCTTCGTAGGAAAGAGACAGCGGTTGGTTGAAGACGAAGCGCGAGGCAGAAGTCGAAGGAGCCCTCGCTCTATTTCCCCTGCTTCCCGTGCCTTTACCTATCTTCTTCCTCCACCCATCTCCACCGCTTCATTGCCGTCCTCTGCATTCCTCCCATTCCTCCCATTCCTCCCTTTTCCATGTCTTGACGTCGTGTGCCTATATGTGTGTGACAGTCTACGCTCGCCCTCCTCGTCCCTTTCCGCCCAACTTTCATTTTCACTTTTCAGCCTTCAATTCATATACCTACACTGCACACATCCAACGCAGCGCCCCCAATTGGATCGCCTGACAAGAAACACAGCCTTTCCAGAAACACATCTTCTCCAAAGGAGTATACAGCGACTGCAATAGAACCAAAGAGCCGATGACTATATCCAGGGACATGTCCGAAAACCGCCACACCTACGACTCCTCAGCAACGACGCTGGCCCAGTCCATGAACATGACCTCCTCGGTCTTCCTTCACCAGATCGGTGGCAGGAACAGAGCCTTCGCAGACAGCCCATACCACCAGCATCACCACAACGCCAGTATCTCTGACCCGAAGCAGCGCCTTGTTGCTGCCCTCGATTGTTCGCCACCGTTGTCTTCGAAGCATGCTCGGCCGGTAGAAACCACGACTGACGAGGACATCATACCCGAGGGCCATAATGACCGCCAACCCAAGCGCACAAAGCTCAATTCAGGCACAGATTCAATCGATAACAACACCCATCTAATCAACGCTGGCTTTAAACCCCAACAGGAGCACTCAGTTCCTTCCAGGGGCCCTGCTCGTATTGTCGGCATTCATGCAGTAGCCCCGGGTCTGCCAACGCCACCAATTTCGCGTGGCACTGAATCTAAAATTCAGCCCACAGCACAGCGACAGCAGCATAACCTCGTCAATTCACCTCGAACTCTCACCATCACCCAGACAAACGCAGAAAAACAGGGAGGAGGTCGAGAAGGAGCCGACATGGGGATCGCGCGCCACCTTTGCTTTGGTATGATCCAGTCTCTAATCGTCACCCTTTATCCCAGGCAACTTGAGTATGAAGAAGGCAAGTCAGATCCCGTCACTATCAAGCGCACCACCACTGCGAGCAAGGCCAGTTTGGCAGTGGAGCACGAATTGGGTCTTGTAAGTATCATCACGCCAACGCTGTATTTCACTTGTCTGCTGATAACATGTAATGCCGGCAATACTGACACGAACTTCTCTCGCCCTTCCATTCCCCTTATTTTTTCTACTCTTATTCCTGTGATGGATCTCCGCCAGTATGGCTATGTTGTTTCGGAATTGACGGACACACTGGTTCCCCTTGTGGATGCCAAAATGATATGGTGGGAGGCCCATGTCCCCCGCCAGCGGAGACATAATGTAAGCGCCTGCAGCTAACAACGATGCTCATTATATCTCGCTATATACGATCGGCTTCAAAAGCCATTTTAACACTGTTTCTGATTTCAACATCTAAAACTAGAACGTCAGTGTGCCTGTCAACATCATCTTATACGGACCTCAGGAGCACCAAATGAAAGTGGCTGAAGCACTTCATGGAAAGGTCAGACTTGAGGATCCTATTGAATTTGATCACCGGACACGGTACTCGAATCCACTTCTGCCAGCGCCCGGAGAACGGTTGTCGCCGTATGATATTTGGCGAGGGGTTACCACACCACCGGCATCCTATGCGAATGGGCCATCATCCAAACTGCACGGTTATGCTGGATACGGTGGAGGATCAGGTGTACGGTCTGCCGAGGAAATCAAGAACCAGATCGACGGCGTGTTCAAGGGTCTTCGGAGCGCTACGGATCTTCCACTTGTAAATCCTGCCCCGTGCATGTCCACGCCGTTATATAGGCATCAAAAGCAGGCGCTCTACTTCTTGCTGGAGCGTGAAAAACAAGAGGACTACATCGACAATGAAAAGAACAAGCTGACGTCTCTCTGGCGGGTACGGCATCCTCCTCACGGACATCCAGTTTATCTGAATGTAGTGACTAATCAGGAATCGAGTTCGAAACCGACGAGCATGCGAGGAGGCATATTGGCAGACGATGTAAGTACATCCGAACCCACTTTGCAGCTTCGCGCATACTTGCTTTTCACCAGACGGTATAACATAGACTAAACACATTACGCGCGATGCACCATAGATGGGTCTCGGCAAAACAATCACCGTCATGTCGTTGATCGCTGCCACGCTTGACAGGGGGATGTATGGGCGTCTCGGATCCAACGCAGCTGAACCATACACCACAGGAATGGCCCATACACCCTCAACCAGCGCCTCTGTATTACCGTCAGGCTCAGCACCACCTCAAACTCGACCCGGTATCCCGCGGATAAAATCCCATGCCACGCTGATCATTTGTCCGCTATCGACGGTCCAGAATTGGGAAGAGCAGTTTGACAACCATGTCCACAGGGACGCCTTGAACGTTTACGTCTATCATGGGGGGCAGCGCGTAGCTGATCCATCCTTTCTAGCCAAGCATGATGTGGTCATCACGACATATAACCTCTTGGGAACTGAGTACTCAAAGGAAACGAAGGCACGCGACTCTCAGACTGGACTATCCAAATACCCAAGCGTCCTGCAGCATGTGGATTGGTTTAGAGTCGTTTTGGACGAAGCACATATCATTAAGGAGGCTAACACTGTGCAAAGCAAGGCTGCGTCTGCGCTCACCGCTGAACGACGATGGTGCTTGACAGGAACTCCGGTTCAAAACAAGGTAAGAATTGTATCCAGGGGACCTGATGTGTTTGGTTCAATTGTTCGATCCGTGTTCCACGACTGACACTGACATCCCTCGTGTAAATATCCAGCTCGATGACTTGTATGCATTGGTCAAATTTCTTCGCATGCACCCGTTTGATGAGAAAGTGCAGTGGACCCATTATATCTCAAAGCCCATCAAGGCCGCTAACCCTATTGGCATCACCAGATTGCAGACGCTTATGAAGGTGATTACTCTTCGTCGCACAAAGTCCCAGATGGTTGACGGCCAACCACTCTTGGCCCTTCCCGCAAGAACTGATCACAAGCGTGTCCTTGAGCTCAGCTTGAACGAGCGTCAACTGTACCATCGCATGGAGTCCCGTGCCAAGCAGACTGTGGACCAGATCGTGCAGGAAAACAAAATTATGAAAAGCTATGCTCATATCCTCCAGGCTATCCTGAAGCTTCGTCAGATCTGCGCTCACTACGCCCTCATCAAGAACTTGGGTGATGACTTGGATGCGTCTGACGAATTCAGCCTCGCCAAGGCGACCGAAACTCTGACGCTCTTACAAGACTCTGGCAATGATCAGTGCAACCACTGTTTCAACTCGTCAACACTGACGCCGATTGTTACCCGATGCGAGCACATCTTTTGTCCAGACTGCATCAAGAAGCTAAATCCTTTGACGTTCATGCTAATCCAAAAATCGAATGCGGACGTCAGTGTTGCACCTGGGCTTCAGATCGATTTTGCTTGTCCACAGTGCTCCTCGATTCTTCGTCCAGTTGATTTGATCCAAATCCAAGAGGAACCTGAGGACCGGCAAACAGCGATCGGATCTGGTGGCGACCATGTCCACACCCGCAGGGACGAGAATGGCGCCTTGATCCATAGTACTAAGGTCAAAGCTCTTATGGAGGACCTGGTTCAAGCAACTGAGGTGTCGAAAAAGACAGGCGAGGCCCATACAAAGAGTGTGATCTTCTCACAGTGGACGAGCATGCTCGATCTGATCGAGGTTTGTACCATTTTGTATCTTCCCTATTGACCATCTGAAGGACATCAATTATGGTATGCATAGACATATGTCGGGAGCTAATACTTTCTCGTTTTCTGAATGCTAACATCTAGGATGGCCTTCGAGAAAACAAGATCAAATTTACTCGTCTGGACGGAACCATGCAACGAAGCGATCGCACCACGGCCCTGACGGATTTCAAAGACAAGCCGGATGTGAGCGTCATCCTCATTAGTCTGAAGGCCGGTGGAGTTGGGTTGAACCTGACGTCTGCACAGCGTGTCTATCTGATGGATCCTCACTGGTAATACTACTGCCAGCAACGCTTCTTCATATTAGTTTTCGAAGGACGGACACTGATAGGTCGTCTTTCGACACTACAACAATAGGAACCCGGCAGTGGAGAGCCAAGCCATTGACCGAATCCATCGACTTGGACAGACAAAACCAGTGGACGTTATTCGGTTTATTATCAAGGTTAGAAAGAAGAAAAGGAAAGAGAACGAAGAGCGAGAGAAGGGGCAATCAACTAACAATGCCTTGCGCCATTGTGTGCGGTATATAGGACTCTATCGAGGAGAACATACTGGAGCTCCAGAAACGAAAGGCAGAGCTGTCGGACATGACGTTCTCAGAGAAGCTGTCGAAGCAGGAAGTCCTCAAGAGACGTCTTGAAGATCTGCGGTGTCTCTTCCGTGGATCGTCGGAGCTCATGAAGAAAGCGACTATTTGAAAGGGCCACTAACCTCTGTAAAAGTGCACCTCCTAATCGCATGAGCTGTGTAGGTCAGGCAAAAAAAAAAAATAATAAAGAGAAAAAAAAATGCAACGTCAGTAGGTCAGGTCAGAAGGACGAGTGTATTTTCTACTGGGGATCAGCGCCAGGTTGGTCTCTTTCATTCACCCTACCAAGGCACTTTATCCGCGCTACAGCTGTGAGTCGAAGATCGATTGATCACCACTCTGCCCTTCAATATTTCTACTTCCAGCGCCGCCATTTCGACCCGTCCATCCTTGATCTGTATTTTTTTCGCCATACCACATCTTGAAAGCACAGAAACCGATCAAATATCTAATCCAACCGGTTGCCTTGCTACGGACGACATTCCTTTGACCTAGAAAAACGCCACTACTATGTCTCGTTTTTTCCGTGCTGGTGAGAGCGACTCTGACGACACCGAGTCTGATTACTCTGAGGAGCTTACTGCCTCTGAGTCCGAGGATCACTCTGATTCTGATTCGGATGGTTCCTCGTCCGATGACGATCAGCCTGGCAGGAAGGCCCCTCAGGGTCGCCTGTTCGGTGTAGGCTCAGATGACTCCGATAGCGACGAGGATGTAGTCCGCGTCGTGCGTTCGGCAAAGGACAAGCGCTTTGAAGAGATTGAGATGGCTGTGAACGCCATGGCGAACGGCCAAAAGATCAACGACTGGGTTTCAGTTCAGAACGGTAAGTGAATTTGACACTGGTTGAACTACAGGACAGCATGGGAAGGCTTCAATTGGCTCCAAGATTCGCCATACTTTCGGGACCGACGCAGTAGCTTTCCACTTTACCTTGACACGATACGCTACTGTTCCTTGAACATTGCCAGCAACCAGTCCCAACTGTATCATCGTCAACAATGGCCGATAGTTTTTTTTTTTAATGGATAACGGCGACAATAAAAATGCCATTCTTTCAGTCAGGGCCAGATCTGTGGGGATATGTCTGTGGGTGCAATACGCGGACCTGGGTCTATTTACATCAAGTTGCAGTTCATTCTAATTCGTCTCTCGCTCGCGTGATATTCCATTCTCATATAGAATTCGATCGTGCCAACAAGGCCCTTCAGAAGGCCGCCGGCATCATTGCCCAAACCAGCGTCCCCAAGTTCTATATCAAGGCTGTGGCTGAGGTTGAAAAGGCGATTGCGGGCGCATTGGAGAAGGAAAAGTCGGCTTCTAAGAAGATGAATGCCTCCAATGCCAAGGCGTTGAACTCAATGAAGCAGAAGGTCAAAAAGAACAACCGTGTGTACGAGAAGGAGATCCAGGAGTACGAGAAGGACCCCGAAAACTACGACGTTGAGGAGGAGGTTGTTGAGGTTAAGCCCAAGACCAAGAAGCCCAAGAAGGTTATTCTTTCCGAGTCAGAGGGTGAAGAGGAAGATGGTGAACCCGTCGATGATGGATTCACTCCTGTTGGCGCTGGCGGAAAGACGGTTGAGTTCACCCAGGATAATTTGTTTAAGAAGCTGCGGGAAGTCATCGACGCTCGTGGAAAAAAGAACACCAACCGCGAGGAGCAGGTCCGAATTCTGGAGCGATTGCTTGTTGTCGCAAACACGCCCTATCAGAAGATTCGTGTTCTTTTGAACCTGATTTCTGCCCAGTTCGATTTCGCGGTTGGTCTCTCGGGATACATGAACATTCCTCTTTGGAAGAAGTATGTGATCCCTCTTCCTTCTCCATTTTTCTCTTGCTCTCCAGCGACGCCCAAGCATTATGCCGTCTAACACATATATGTTTCTCTCATAGCGCTGAAAAGTACCTCAACAGCCTTCTGACCATCTTGGAGTCAAACCCCGACTATGTTGTCAAGGAAAATGCTCCAGAAGAGGATGACGATGAGAAGGATCGTGCTCCTGAAAATGGTCAGACTGTGTTCATTCAAGGATCAATTGTGGCCTTTGTCGACCGCCTGGACGATGAGTTCACAAAGTCTCTCCAGAACATCGACCCTCACACCACGGATTACGTTGAACGCCTCAAGGACGAAGTCGGTCTGTACGCTGTTATTGTTCGGTCCAGCGCCTACTTCGAGAAACTTGAGCTCACGGATGCCATTTGCCGCACCACCATGAGACGCTTGGAGCACTTGTACTTCAAGGTATAGCAACAAGCTTCATGTATCTCTGCAGCCGCTGCACTCCTATTGAACTCTTGATCTGACAGTTCTGGTTATCTGCTTTCTATTTTTCTCTTTAGCCTGAAGTTGTCATTCTCGCTGTCGAGAATGCGACCTCTGCACTGTTGCCTACGAGCATCGCCAAGCCCATCGAAGACTCCTCCAATCTGATCCATGACCTCTGCGTATTTTTGTACAAGAACGCCAACTCTTTGCAGAGAACTCGCGCCATGCTCTGCCATATCTACCACCACGCCCTTCACAATCGCTTCTTTGTCGCTCGCGATATGCTCCTCATGTCCCATCTGCAGGAAACCATTCACCAAGCCGACATCACCACCCAGATTTTGCACAATCGTACCATGGTTCAACTTGGTCTTTGTGCTTTCCGGGAGGGAATGATTAAGGAGGCACAGACTTGCTTGCAGGACATTTCTGGAACTGGTCGCGTCAAGGAATTGTTGGCCCAGGGTCTCCAGGCTCAGCGTTACGGAGCCGTTTCACCTGAGCAGGAGAAGCTAGAGCGCCAACGCCAGCTTCCCTTCCACATGCACATCAACCTCGAGCTCTTGGAGTGCGTCTACTTGACGTGCTCTATGCTTTTGGAGATCCCTGCCATGGCCGCTGCTGGAAGCAACCCCGATGGCCGCAAGAGGGTCATTTCCAAGCCCTTCCGTCGCATGCTTGACTACAACTCTCGCCAGGTCTTCTCCGGACCACCCGAGAATACTCGTGACCACATCATGGGGGCTGCCAAGGCTCTGGCTGGCGGCGAGTGGCAAAAGTCGATCGAACTTATCAATGCGATCAAGATCTGGGAGCTCATGCCTTTAGCGGACAAGATCAAGGAGATGTTGGGCCGTAAGATGCAAGAGGAGGGTCTTCGTACATACTTGTTTGCGAACGCCTCATACTACTCTTCAGTTGGGCTTGAGCAGCTCGCCAAGATGTTTGAGCTCCCATTGGCGACTGTTGTCTCGATTGTGTCGAAGATGGTCTGGAACGAGGAATTGTCGGCCAGCATTGACCAGGTCAGTAACGTGGTGGTCCTGCACCATGTCGAGGCAACAAGGCTGCAGTCGCTTGCCCTTGCGTTTGCTGAGAAGGCTGCAGGATTTGTTGAGGGCAACGAAAAACTGCTGGAGTCGAAGACACCTCAACAGGGAGAGCGCCCCAAGAAGGGTAAGGGCTCAAATGACTCTATTGCTTTGTTCTCGTAAGATTGGTTCACTCATATACTAACTAATTTCAATATGTTCATCTTTCAGGACCCAATGCGAACAAAGATCAGGCCTCTGGCAAGCAGCAGCAGCAGCGCACGATGGGACCCCGTGGTCATCGTGGTGGACGTAACCAATTCAACAACGGACTCGGCAACAGCGTGAGGGGCGGTCGCAAGTAGAAACAAGGATATCTCGCATACATTTTTCTTCGTTCAATAAAAGTTTTAACCCTACGTTCTTTATTCGTGTTGCGGAAATAGCAATCTTTTTTGAAAAGCGAGGTAAGATAAAAAAAAATAAAAAAAAGACGAGAGGAGCGAACAGGACAGATGAATGCCCTAGTAGTTCTCGACCTTCAGCTGGTGTTTGCCAATATGGCCCAGAAGGGAGCGCCTGAGGACTTGACGAAGCAAGGGCGAGGTGCCAGATTGTTTTCCCGCAGATCTGCTCTTCTTGTGTCTTCGTGTCTTGCTGCGTTGGAGGGCCATGCAGATTGATGAACGTAGAGCACGATAGTTCATTAGCATCAATGTTTACTACTAAACAAAGATCCTCTCAATGACAAGACATGCCAAGACAAGCGGGACAACAGAAGAGCTGGGCTACACAGCAGCAAGGGCGCAATGGAGACGGCTACCGTCGTAAAGCCTCGCCTGTTCAGTTCCTCTTTCTCTTTGGCCCAAACCCATCAAAGGGATATGATGTGATGTGATGTGTGTGTTCTTATGCAAAAAGCACCCCATCCTTATCATAACGTTTAATTTCATCCTCTCACTCCCTGCCTTCACCCTTTTTTTTTCTTTCTTTCTTTCTACCGCCTTCTTTCGTTTGGTCTTTATTTGGGTTTGCCTTGGTGTGCAAAGCGGACCAATGACAACCAGTGACGGGATTGCGTGCCAGTGCCAAGAGAGAGGTACAATTCTCAGCTCGGGGGGTTTTGGAGATAAAAAAAAAATAACAAAACAAAGTACCAATTTACCTCAGCAGAGCCTTGATGGCCTCATCTGAAAGCTCCCGCACCTGGTAATGCGGCTGCTGCTTGGTCGAATCCTGCGTCGACTTTGCGGCGGGCGAGTGGGAAGCTGACTTTGCAGTCAAACAGGCAACCATGATTATGCGTGGATCGGACACACACAAGTGCGATATCCAAAGAAAAAAAAAAAAAAAAAAAAAAGAAACCCTACAACGAGGTTTGCTGTCTTAATTCTAGCACTACTGGTACGGGCTAAGAGGGGATATATAATATGTACAGAAAGGTCGAAGGAAAGGCGAAATAAGGCGGAGAAGGCTGGGTAGGGCGATGTAGTTTGGCGAAAGGATGGCGTGAAGATGCGTCAAGGGGTGCGCAGTCGATATGCGGCGACCAGTAGGGAAGTTGGCGGTTTCGAACACTTAGTGAAAAGGTCGAAGGGGATCGATCGTTTGATTGCAAGCAAAGCTGAGGAGTTGATGAAGAACGAGAGGCGACGACGATCTTCACACAAAAAAAAAACAACAATAAAAAAAAAAAATGGCGGGAAGGATGATGCTTTCTTTCTTGACGGACCACGGACCAAAGAAATATGATTCATAAGTGGCTCGGCTCATCGGGTGCAGGCTTGGTTGGATGTTAGAGTGGCAGGACTATGCGCTTATGCACTTATGCACTCACTCTATTCGGCACTTGTTCATTCGTCGCCCCGATGTCATCACACCATCATCTCGTCATCATTACTGGAGCAAACCGCGGCTTCGGAGCAAGCGTCGCTCATTCCTACGTCGCCAACAGTGGAGCAGACACGGTTTCGTTTGTGCTTGTCGGAAGGAACCAGCAGGGACTCGACTCGGTCCTCACCAGCCTGCGCAAACTCACCTCTGAAAACAACGTCGCCGTCAAGGGAGCCATTGTTGGAGATGTTGATCTCGCGGATATGGAAAGACTCGATAACAACTTAGTCAGGATTCAAGCAGCCGTTACGGAGTTGAGAAACGAATCTATTCAGTCAAAGGTATCTACAGCAGCAACAACGACACTGGAGGCATACACGTCGTGCCTGAATCTAGCTTAAATTGCTTCTGTTAACCACCGATTTACGGCCCGCCCTTGCCGCTGTTCATTTCTTCATCCCCTTAGAACGTTATCTCAAAGTCAGTGCTCATCAACAATGCAGGATCCATTGGTGACCTCAGCAAGACTGCAAAGGAGATGACTTGGCAGGAAACACGGGCCTATCTCGACTTTAATGTCGTCTCCTTTGTTGGACTTACGTAAGCCTACTTGGATTTATTCATCGCCGCGGCTCTAATGGCGTAATTCAACTGTCACTCAAAACTCCACATCTCGGTCCTCTGCTTGTAGCTCTGCATTCCTCAAGGACACCCTAGGAGCGTACCCCAAGGAGCAATACCCGGGTCACAAAACAGCTATCGTCAGCATATCCTCCTTGCTCGCTGTTCAGCCATTCTCAAACTGGAGTCTCTATGCCGCCGGAAAGGCCGCTCGCGACAGGTTTTTGGGAGTCATTGCCCTTGAAGAGGTATGCCTTAGCTCTCTATGTTATAACGCGTGACGCATTCTTCGATTAGCGACATCTCTAACTCTCTCGTTATGTTCTGTGTTGCTTTTCTTTGTATCTCTATGCTTCTCTGTCTGCACTGTGATCCTGGGCTATAAACAGAAAGCGAACAACGTCAAGACGCTGAACTATGCCCCTGGGCCATTGAATAACGATATGCAGGCGGACGTCAGACGCACGCTCGGAGACAAGGAGCAGCTCGAGATCTATGATGGAATGCACAAGAGTGGATCACTGGTTAACATGGACGACTCGAGCCGCAAACTTGTTTTGCTGCTCAAGAACGACGAGTATACCACTGGTGGGCACATCGACTTCTATGACGAATAAAGGATCTCTTCTCAGCGGCGTACCTGCATGTAATAGTAATATTCAATTGCTTTTTTTGGGAGAAAGCAGAGCGCCCTATATTGTGCGAATTGAAAAAAATAAAAAATAAAAAAAACGGATCAAGACCATGCGCACATCGATTACCAATGAACAAACCCCACGCGATACTCATTCACGTGTAGTGTTTAGACCTGAACACCATAAAATAATCCTTTGGTTCCCAAGATATGATGTTGCAGGACGTATTATTGAGGCAATCACCGCTGACGCCCATTCAATTCGCAGGATAGATTGGCATTCATCGTGGCCACTTCTAAAACTCCATCCTTATCGGCCGCTGCTGTGGTGATGATCATTTCGATGTAGCCATATGATTATGGGTTTTTTCTGGCCTCTGTGCGACACGTTCTCAGTTTCTTGTTTCACTATAGCGCCGACCGTAGCCTGTGGGTGGCATTCGCATCGCGTCAATGCTAAAAGGCGCTCGTACATCGCCATTCTCGGTGAGCATGAATTGACACAATACAATGATCTCTATAGGCGGTGTTCCTCAATTTCATACATATACTACTCAGCCGTTTTCTCACCAGCATCCTTTCCATGTCCACATCGCTCTTACGCCGTATACCCCAGCCTTGCTATCAACGAATTGAGTCCTGATACCCAAGGTCGCATCCACGAAAGATGCCATTGATGCATGATCTTTTCTTTCTACCAGCAGCCTCCCGGCCAGGCCCAAAGAGACGAACATGCGCTTGACATTTCAAGTCGTTGCCTATGATGGTCTTGTCATTGCGAGACTTTTCAGGTGCACACAATTTCGCCCGCGTTACTTTACCGTTCCCAGAAAAGAGTTTCACGCAAAAATAATGGGGCTAACACGTCTTGCTCGCTCTGTTCCCTCGGGCTGCTTTCTAGTTGGCCATCCCAGTCTTTATCTTCCTAGATATTGTTTGCATCTAAACACACGACACTTGGAGATTAAATGTCAATGCTCCACTCCGCGGAGAAAATAATAATGGTCGTGCTCCTGATTCACTTGTCGTTGCAATTGGCGCTAATCCGTAACCCTTTTCTTTTCTTTTAACTAAAGCGCATCTTTGTAGTTCCGGTAGCCGCATTCGTGGGTATCTGGTTCTACGCCTGATACCGCTGCGGTCGGGCATACAAATCTGAGAAAAATAAGGCAGTATCCCCTTGCATATGTCTAATAACTACATGGAGGTCAGAGTGAGACGCAAAAGTAGGAGCAGGTAGAATGGTTGCCCCTCAGGAATAACTACTAGATCGTCCGTCGGTAACGCCATTGGAATAATAAAATAAAAGGAAGCAAGCCGCCTGATATCGACCACGTTTTCTTCTCCGACGACAGATTAACTCGGCTCAGGGCCCTGAAAAGGGTCGAAACTTCTGTCATCCCTAGGTCATATTTGCAAGGAAAAACTAGGACAAACTATAACCTCCCCTAAGCATAAGAACAAATGCCTTGGCCTCGTCCTCGTCCCTTGGCACCAAAGAAGAAAAACTATATAGAAAACGGCCGCGGGGACCCCTTCTTCTTAGTGCTCATTTGTATGAGTACTTGGACGCTTTAGTTTTTTCTATGTGGTCTGAGCGATGGACGATTCCTCTATCCGCTTGTTGTCGCATGGCTGTGAGATCGACAAAATCGGGCTTGCTGCTTAGGGTCGTACAATACAATTTTATTTGTTTTAACACGACTTCCAAACATTTTTTTGCATGAACCGGGTTCAACTGCAGTTCTTTGCGCGCGGGTAAACAAGCCCACTATCCCTGAGCAGATCGTATTCCTACCGAAGCCTTGGAGTGAACAGAAGGGTGAGAAGGATATACTTCGGTTTGTATGTAACACCATGGTCATGAGCGCGCCGCATGCATTAATTTGAATACAGATATTTCTATCGCGATCTTCCACTATTGAGGGCGTGCCTTGGATCCGTTGTTTCGCCGAACGCCAGGAAGCGGGAAAGTCTCCTATCGCATTACCCTTTTGACTACTGACAAGAGAGCTGCCATCAAGAAAGCCCATTAAGGTTTCTGTCCCCTGCCCTCCCCCAACAAGTGAAGGAGTATTAATACCATTAATACTACAAGAAGTACTCCTCCGTATTTGATATAACCTTCCTGTGCCTGCCATCCTACTCGTACCCCATCATCATCATAGTAGCCGCGGGAGTAGCAGCGCCAGCGTGCATTATCATCATCTCCCCTTTCCTGTATATGCGATGCATGTACTGGAGTGCCACGGGAAACATTCATTGTTGCTAGACTAGCAACAATACAACGGCCATACACGGTGGCCCTGAAAGGCGTAGATAGAGGACAAACATCGCGGCAAGTGGCAGGAACCATGTTTCGAATCAGGCGACAGGGCATGATAGTAGTACCTGCAACACCAGGACCAACCGCAGGTGGCCTTTATATCAAAAACTGGAGACGAAGAAGGAAAGAATGAATTGAGAAATAGCAGCGGCCATCTTTTTCTTTTCTCCTTTTCTTTCTTTTTCTTTCTTCTACTCCACTATTATCATCGCCATCTACTCCCTTTGCCTTTATTGTCTGTCTTCCGCAGAGCCAAGTCCTTTTACAAGCTACTCCATCGATCTTGATCGTCCCTCCAAGAAAACACCGTGAGCAAGAACGCCATATCGCCAACAAACAGTACCCATCTATTCCCATTCACACCAACCCGCTTTTCTACCGGCGCCAGCGCAGGCCTCAGGTCCAGGGATAAATATTCTCATACACTTGGCCTCTCTCACACTTTAGTGTAAACCAACATCAACATCAGTACTGTGGCATTGCAGCTGCAGCCTCTCCTTTTAACAGTATCATATTTTTGAAAGATGGAGGAAAATCAAATTTCGGCTGAATACCAATGGCTCGAGGGACGCCGCTATCACAACACACCTGGGGCCTCCTATCTCTTGCCCAATGACATTGACGAGTAAGTTGACGCCCTTGCAGCAAATTCGTTTAATCCCATGTGTTCGTGTGAATGCATCCCTCCCAAGAAATTTCAGTCGGGATGAACCCTTAGTTTTTTCCTTTTGAGCACCAAAGTGGTTGACTTTACTCGCGCACTCACGTTTGATCTTCTACACTCCTCTTTCGTCTGCATTTACTTCAATAGAGTGGACAGGTAAAGCTCGGTCTGACTGGCCATTGACCACTATGGGCGATAGACTTGTCGGTACCAACTATCTCATGCTAACCTATACACATATTCATTGTTTATTTAATCTTTATTATGGACGCTCATCGATGGCGCTACACAGACTGCAGCTTCAGGTAAAGAATAACAACGCTCGAATCCAGATTGGTGATACCAGGCATTGCTTTGCCCCATTTGTCTAACCAGCTGCATTACATTCCGCTGATCTTTTGTAGCACTTCATTCTTCGTTATGCAATACAAGGGAACTACAAATCTCCACTTGAAAAACCCAAGGTATGAGATATCTCTGTCCTTGTACTCCAGGGAGACTTTTTCATTTCTTCTCGTTGGCCAGGAATTATAAAGTTGCTGACAAGTAAAGCATCGCCTTTCTACAGGTGCGGACAATTTTAGACGTCGGCTGCGGACCAGGGACGTGGACGATGGTAAATGCAAGGCCACAATTTTTTTTTCCTTTTTTTTTTTTTGTTATCAGGTCGTCTAATCCAAACTTTGACTTTATGTCCAAAAAAAAAAAAAAAAAAAAAAAAAATGAACGCCGTAGGAGATGGCCAACGAGTTCCCGGATGCAACCATCACCGGTATTGATATGTCACCGGTCTTCCCGACAACGATCATTCCGAGCAATTGCTGCTTTGTCCAACACAACATCCTCGATCCACTCCCCTTTCCAGACAACCACTTCGACTTTGTTTACCAGCGCCTCTTGGTCGCGGGTCTGACCCCAGACGAATGGACCCGTGTCCTTGCAGAGCTCGAGCGTGTCACCAAGCCGGGCGGATGGATCGAACTCGTCGAGGTGGATGGTCATGGTGGTAACAATGGGCCCTACACAGCCAAGGTCTGGAGCTGGGTTGAGCAGGCACTAATGTCTAAAGGCATCCGTTCTTTAATTGGTCGCGACCCGGGTTTTCCGTACTTGATGGAGCAAGCCGGTATGGTCAACGTTCAGCAGGATATCCTCAAGTTACCCACTGGGAATCATGGCGGCAAGATTGGCAATTTGCTGAAGGAGAACGAGTTGTCGTTTTGGAGTGCAATCACACCTATGGTGATCCATGGTGCCGGTATTGATAAAGACGAGTATGAGGAGGCTTTGCAGATTGCAGAAACGGAAGTTGACAAATACGAGAGCTATCACATTTTTTATGTGGCCACAGCCCAAAAGCGCGACCCTCAATCAAGCACTGAGAAGCCTTGAAGAGCAAATATTGAGAAACGTCGAAGGAATACTTGGAGTTCATTTATATATTTAAATACATAGCAAGCGAAATGATCATTAACCTCACAAACAATGAAGAAAAACTCTTTATTCGCGGAAAATGGACGCCTTTCATCGAGAGTGACGGAGTGAGGCTGTGCGCTCCTGTCTTTCAAAGAATCTCTGCGGCACCGTTGTCTTGCACTTAGCATCCAAGTCATCCACAATAAATTGGCCCAAATACTCGATAAACGTGTCAAGCGAACACCATTCGAAATCGCACCAGTTGGACGTGGTCTTCACCACTCGGCCATTATATAAAACGCGCACGAAGTACTCCTTTGAAGGTGGGGACCAAACCTCGAAGAGGAGATTAGAAGCCTAAAGACGGAATGCAAATTAAAGGGGAAAGAGTAACTAATAAGACTCTTTCATATCAACTCTTTGTTCAGGTTGTTGGTCGGTGTCAGCACTCACATATGGTGGCCACCGCATATCTGTCGAGCCAAGCATTCCCAGAAGTGGAATCAAGGTCGTATCATGCCCCGAAAATACCAAAAACGGTGCCGACTCCCCATTCTTGGCCTTCAAGAGATTTTGTCGGATGTCTTTGGCAAGTGGCCCGATCCCTAGCTGCAGCATCTCTCGTACGTCCTGGGCATCGCGTCTCGTCTCTGCATTTTCTAGAGAAGCGACCGAAAGACATCGTTCAGCCATCTTCCGGGTCACGCAACGAGGAGAACTTTGGTTGATGGGCGCCTCCTCGCATTGTAGGGGTAAGCCATGACAAATTCTGGGAAGAATTGCATCGATCAAGCCATCGAAACCCAAGTCTCTGTCCTTATTGATCAATCTATTAACGTCCTTGCGAAAAGCGCCATGGGTCCATCTCAGCTGCTCAAGAACCTTGCTGGTCCTGTTAATGTCCTCGTCCAATATGTCAATGCGCGGACACCGATTTGTGTTCATGGTCATGTAGTCGATCTCTTCAGGGAGGATTTGTATCTGACAGACTGAAGGAGCGCAGCCACGTTCGAGGGCGTCTTGGCCATAAAGGCCAATCATCAGGTTCTCAGCACTCTGCTTTGTACGCCATACGTCTACAAAGGATGAATGAACCCAAGTGTAGTGTCAGAATGAGTCTATGAAAATAAAATAAAAAAAGCTGATACACCAAAATTGCAGCTTTTTTTTCCTGCACCTGTACTACGAAGGCGCAGAGTATTTGGATCGAATGTGGCGGGGAGCAGCTTCCATTGATCGATGTAGATCTTGTGGAGATCTTGACCCATGCGCTGCTGCTGCTGAGCGCCCAGCGACGTCAATTCTCCTGGGATACAGCCGCCCTTCCACATAAGGCCTGAATCAGGCGAGTTCTGTTGGATCGTCACCGCATGGTTGGTCAGTACAGCGGTGCCATTAAGCCGCGTCTGAATGTCCGAGCTCCCTATGGGTCCTGAGAAGGTAAAATAGCCAGAACTGGTACTACACTCCCATGTCAAATCCCTGTCTTGCGGATAGACCGTCAAAGGCGTGCTGTAAAGATGAATTGATAAGCATAGATCGCATATATAAGAAGGCCCTTGGAAAGGACTACATGTATTCACTCTGGGGATTCGAATTATCATTACCGATCTCCATGTCGAATAAAGAGCTGTACATTCCTTAACTCGGAATTTCCGATCTACGGTTACATTTGCCATGAGCACTATTAAGATCAACATGTAGAGTTCGTTGTATCGATCCTTTGAGATGCCGGTAGCGTTGTCAATGTTACCTTGGGATTAGGATATGTGCTCAGCTTTGGATGCGAAGCCTCGCAGTAACTATATCGAGTTCCATCCTTATTGTCAAGAATATCAGACACCCAACCTGGGCTGTCTTGGCCGCTTGTTTCACTGGAAGACACGCCTCTGGTTACGATGATAAATCCCAGGAATAAGACAGGTATCAGTGTTGCCGAGCACCGAGTACGGGTATGGGACGGAATCATTTGCATGGTAAAAGTGTATGAAGGAGCAGAAAGGGTTGAAAGAGTTGAGGCATGGCTCCTCATGTCATCCAGAGGGTTAAGGGAGAGGCATGCGCTCCATCCTTGGCAAGAATTGGAATGGTAGCTGATGCAGTAAGAAAATAGGCATTGGACTTTCTTGTTCGCGCGCACAGACCACAAGAGGGCGGAAGACGCGTCTTCACACTGTAGGACGCGACCACTAGACTTCCGTTTTTCAGTCCGTGCCAATTCCACCCAAGTCCTTTATATCGTGAAACAGTTCCTCACTGAAGTCCGCCACCCATGAATGATTCTAATGCGCACCATCGTCTCCAGCCAACGTCTTCACCTCCTTGTTCCACTCACACAAACGGTCATGTCTTCTTTCCGTTTGCAAACGCCTTTTTCAGCTCCACTTCATAACACAGCTTCTTTTTCTTTTTCTTTTGTAGCTCCTTCTCATACTCATTCTCAATACATCATGTCTCAGAACCTCGAGGCCCAACTGGATCGCCCCTACGCCTCTCCGTCGCTCCCGTCCGCTTATCATGACCCTACTCCTGCAATTAACCATTGGGTCATCTCGCCGGGCTCTATAACCCTGACGTCCGATGCTCCAGCAAACCCAACCCCGCCCCTCGAACCAGATATGCGGTCTACTCATCATGAATTACCAAGCGACGCATCCAGCAATAACAACAGTGCGACTCCCACCTCTTGGGAGGATTCCAAACACAAAGCTGAACATAGACCGGTCGACGACATAGCTTCCCGTGCGGACATCTTTGCAGGTGTAGCGATCTTTAGTGCGGGCATGCTCGTCCTGATTGTTGCCATGACTTTCTATTTTGTGAACGGGCGATCCTGGAAAGTGTTTAGAGGACAGCGACCACTTACTCAGCAGCCCATTGGCGGTGCAGAAAGAGATGCCGAAGACTTGGAGAACAACCTTTCTGCAGCGGACCAACTCTCCCGAGATAAGCCTGCCACTTCAACGGATCAATTAGCCGGCGCTACCATGCCGTCTAAAAACATTTCTATAGACACCATGATAAGTAAGACTGCTCATGACCCAGAACCATCCCCTTCGACCGCCAGATTGGAGGATCTTCCCGCAACAAAATCCTTCTTTGCGCTGTTAAAAGGCCCTTTCAACAATCAGCATCGCCCACCGGTCAGCAGTACCAGTGCCAGCAACAGTGCCAGCACCAGCACCAATACTAGCACCGGCACCAACAACAGCGTCACTACCGATAGCTATACCAAAAGCACTGCCGATGATCCCCTAATGACTAACAAGGTGAACATGCCCGCACTCACACGCACCAAAGCTCGCTCCAGTATCAAACACAGCTCTGCCAGCCGTTTTCTGCACTCTTGTCAGAGCTCAACCAAGGGCAGTCATAGCGCCACCTCGGTCAATAATTCAACGCCTGACCCCATCCTACGTACGATCCCTAGCTCAAACTCATCTCTCGATTTGTCCACGGCCAGCTTCGTAGCGACACCTCACCCTGGTCGAGGTGTTTATTCCTACAGCGATATCAAAAACGCCTCCGGACCAAACTACAACAACAGCAGCGGTAGCGTGGGTACGACCTTGCTCCGACTTGACACGACGCATCGCGCGGACGCACCACGCTCCAGTTCGATCATGGGTCTTTATGGTAGTGCCAGATCGTCTCCGAATGGATCGATAGCAGATGCGGCGTCCGTCCAGGCCATATACTCTCACTCTTTGAAATCCGCTATGTCCTATGTCACGCAGACTGAATCCTTTGGTTTTGACAACCAGGAGATGGAGTCGAAAGAGGTTGTTCTAGCGAGTGCCGACCTGGAACGCAAGCATGTATAAATATAGAGACCATAGAAGAAATCCTCTAAAAACGTAATTGTACTCTTTATTGATTTATGTTCATTGTAAATATATGCACAACCCCTGGTGAAAAACTATGCTGTCTTTTCTTCTTTCTTTTGTTTTGTGTACGAGTGGATGAATGTGTGCGATTGTGTGCGAGTGCTGTTGCCAGACCTCCATTTCATGCTGGTATTGGACCGGAGGGTATCCATGAAATCCGAAAATACGGAGGAGGAACCGAATATCTAATGTACTTGTCGTGTCCTACTTCTACTTGGCAAGTCTGGCAATGGCAAAAACGGCAATGATCGTGACTGAAAGCGTTACCAGAGCTCCGGGGAGAAGATATTCCTCAGGGATAGACTCCAGCATCTTCTTGAGTTCAGAGGGCGCCTTCTTGGGTTCCACAGGAGCGACGGCCTTGGGGGTCTGCTCAACTGGGCTACGGATCTGTTCTTCTGGGACAACCGATGCTGGAGCAGTAACGGGTGCGGGCGCACTGACAGTGGAGAGAGTAGCGCTGCTGGGGGGAAGGACCTGAGAGGCTCTCGGGTCTGCGACAAACAGCATGACGCGGTTCTGACCTTGCTTTTTGGCAATCGCAACCGAGTCGGCCAAGTCCGCATCCGAGGTCATCATCACATAATCCTGCTCATCGTCCAAGTACGAAATGTTGAATTCAGCGAGAAGAGCGCTCTGGCTAGGGTCGGACTCGGGGCCAAAAGGCTCCTTCTCCATGATGGTTTCTCGAAGGCGACTCAAGTCCGTGAAGTCAGCTGTGAATCTGTGAACAGTGTTGGAAATGGGTGACTTAAATTTGAATACAAAGGTCGTGCTTTCTTCCTCGATTTGCTTGTGGATAAGCTCGCTGCGGTCCTCAGCGACTACCGAGGCGGATTCATTGGGGAAGATCTCGCCAGGGAATGGCTGCATGGCCTGGTGGCTGCTGGGAGACGCGGCGAGACTTGGCGACATGATCGAAGAGGCAGCCATAGATTCGGAAACAACCGAGCCCTCATCACCATCTGCCATCGCAGCCGAGTTCCAGAAGTGGTTCCACATGGGTCCTGACTCTGAATCCTTGGAATTCATTGAGTTGATCTGCTCCATGGTGGCGTACGTCAGCTTGAGAACATCCACCACTCCAACAATCTCCTTGTCCTCCTCAACAACGGGCAAGTTCAGATAGTGACCATCTATAGGCGAGAAAGATGTGCCAATGAAAAAATTAATACCAGGAAGAAACAATCGACAACCACTCTCGCTCCTGATTCTATAATGTCACCATAAATAGCGTACCATGCATCTTGCGCAAGGCGTCCATGATTGTCATTGACGAAGGGGCAGTGTCGGGATGAGGGGTCATGACACGCACCACGCTGCAGTTGCTGGGCTCCAATTGGGCAGCAATAACACGCAGGACGATATCTACAAAGGTAACGCATACCATGTCACACAGAGGTAATTGAGCCTTGTCAGTAGTCCGCTCAACATCAAAAACGGACATCAATGCAGATCACCCAGCAAAGCTTTCCGCACAAGAACGAGAAAAAGTGTACCTTTGGAGGTAAAGATTCCAGCAATGTCAATTCCGTTCTGATCCATGACCAAGACTGCAGTGACACGACGTTCCTTCATTAGCTTAGCAGCCTCCTTGACAGTTGCCTTCACACTGACCTCAGCCGCAGGTGACCCATCCAGAACAGAGCTGAGGTCGGGACACATCATCTTTTCTCTCAAAGTCTCCATGTACTGAACCATGGCCACGTTTTGCATGCCGCCCCACTCCTTGTCTACGCCCTCCAAAGCATCGTACAACTTTTTGGACTGTCCGTAGGCCCTTTCCATCTTTGACAACGACTCATACAGACACTTTGTGATATCTAAGAGACCGACAATCTCAGAATCTTCGTTTTGCACAGGCTGTATATTCAAGAGGAAAATAAAAGGTAAGTAAATGTGTATTGCATGGCTTGGAACATGAGTATGCTGATTCTATGAAGTAATGAACTTGCCAAGTGTCTGAAGCCCTTTTGAACCATCAAGTTCAAAGCGTCGGTAGCGCTACGGTCAGTCGTGACAACCATGGGATTGGGGGTCATGATATCAGCGACGCGGGTCGAACGAGGATCGAGGCCACTATTGGTTGTGATGAATACCAATTTAAGTAAGTTCTTGAAGACGTATCTTATTCAGCTATTTTTGAAGGCAAAAACACTTACGCTGCGACAACTCGGAAGGCCAAATCCTTGGCTGTGAAGATACCCGAGAGATGCTCCTCGTCATTGATGACCAGGACACAGTCCGCACGCTTAGCAGCCATGTTCTGGGATGCCTCCGTCACTGTGATTGACTCTGAAACCGTCAGCGCCTGGGAAACACGCAGGGCCGAGACGGTCCCGGCCATAACCTTTTGTGTCTGTTTGGCCTTTCGGGAGCTATGGCGCTTCTTAGACAACTCCTGCTCAATCTTGCGGCGGATAGCCTAGAGATGGAAACATACATACAACAAACAGACTGTTTAGGAAAGGGAAATTTATCTGGGGGAGACAAGCGCAGCGTTAGGAGAACGTTGCGCAGGGTAGTACCTCGTCCTTCTTGGACTGGCGGTGTCTGGCAGACTCGCTGAAGCTCGAGGAGACGTCCGACATTTGGTCGCTGGGGCGGTTGTTTACGAGACCTGAATAGGCCTTTCCGGCTTGAGGTGGTCTGAGAGAGCTAGCCATGGACATGGATGGATTCACAGTAGCGATGGGAAGAAGAGGAGTGGAGAGCGGATGAGGACAAGCGAAATCAAGAAAAGGAGGAATGGAAACTTTTTATGTGTGTGTTTGAACCCAGATCTGGTCAGGCCTTTTTTTAAGTGTGTGTTCCTCTCTTTTCGCAAAGACGGGCACGGGTGCGGGAGGCGGGTTGCTTTCTCAGGGCCGGGTGAGAAAAGTGGTGTAGCACATGGAAGAAAACAGCCATGCCTTGAATGTGATACGACCTTGTTTTGAACATGCCGTGCCTGAACTGAACTTCTCCCTGCTTGGCGGGACCCATGATGGGCGGTGCCCCCCTCTCTCCCCCAAAGCCAAGGTCGGCAAGTATCTTGGAGCGGTACTCCCAACATGTGTGGTACATGCACGGTACCTGAAAAACAGCACGCTGTGCAGTTAAAGAGACGTAACTTGCAAATGAAGGAAGCCACCTTGCATTTAACAGCACTTTTGCAGTTAAAGGAACACAGGCGGCGGCATTCGATTGGTCTAAGGCATTCTCGAGGCTCCCTCTACTCTTTTTGCTCTTCCAACAACGAACACGACCAAAAGACAGGATCCCAATACCAACAGCGGCCTCATCCGTCCTTTCGTCAAGAGTACAGCAATGGCCACCTCAACACTCAAGAACCTCATTCCGCAGCAGTTCATCATCGCCAATAATGAATACCTTACACTGCTCGTCCTGCTGTCCTTGATTGCACTCGTCGGCATCGCGGGTAAGAACCCAGCTCCCCTTTTGCCACGAAGGACTGTAACATCACTTTCGATCAACCTATCTGAACCAGTTGAAATCTTCTAGTCAATTTCTCAATAGGCAGAAAGAGGAACTCGAAGAACACCATCCTCCTGACAGGGCTACCATTTGCTGGAAAGACAGCGATCCACTACATGGTATGCTGCCTCTCGGTCTAATGGCCTTTTTTACTTTTTGCACCACGACCCGCAAAACACCTTGATTGACGCCCACACCCATATGGCCATAATTTATATGGATATAGATCAATTTTGACAAGAATGTGGAGACTGTAACGTCCATCAAGGAGAATGAAGCAGATGTTGTACTGACAGAGGGAAAGGTAGGCTGATCTTCAGCACGAAGGAATATGTCATTGTACACATGAACAGAATTGTCCTCTAATGCCCTTTATGTTGCTATTTAATCACAATATAGTCCCCAATCCACATTGTCGACATTCCTGGACACGAGCGTCTTCGCTTCAAATTCTCAGAGTTCATGCCTATCGCACGCGCGGTTGTATTTGTTGTGGACAGCTCAACGGTTGCGCGTCAGACGCGTATCCTGGCAGAGTGAGTGCTCATGCAGGAATCGCAAATATATCGGAGATGCTACATGGAAAGAGTAAAATAGAACTGATTTCTGTTTCCAATCTATCGTTGATCCCTAGATATCTTTATGACATTCTCGCGGATAAGTTCGCGCAGAGTGAAAGGATGCCTGTCTTAATCGCCTGCAACAAGTCAGATCTTTTGACATCCTTCAAGAAAGAGCGCATTCAGTCTCTTTTAGAAGTTGAGATGTAAGCTATCCTCTCTTTGGTGGCATTTTTTCAGTTATCGGCTCGCTCCAAAACAATTGTTACCAACACTAATATCCTTGTCCCTCTATTTCACCGCTATAGCAACAAGTTACGTCAGACGAGGACTGCAGCATTGGACACGCAGGGTTCAGAGGGCAACGAGAATGTTTTTCTTGGATTCGAAGGAAAGAACTTCAGCTTCCAGGATCTGGAGAACGAGGTTGAATTTATTGAATGTTCTGCCGAGAACAAGGATATCGAGAGCATCAAGGATTGGATGGCTGCCGTGTCATCTTAGCGAGACAGAATTAGAAATCAGAGGCATCGACTTTAATCTAATAAAGAAATAAATCGTATACAAGCGCAGCCGCTTGGAGAAACTACGTATGCATGTCAATATGTTCCATGTGCCTTTGTGCACAGCATCAAAAGCACAGTTTTTTTATACTGTGGCGTTGCCCAAAAGATAGACGAGAACACCGTTCTATCCCTCGTCGCTTATTATTTTTCGGCGACGTTTAGTATTATATGTTCAATGCTTCCTATTTTTTTTTTTTTTTTTTAAAAAATAAACAATTTGTCTCTCGAGCCGATTGACCCTGCGAATCTATCAGACCTAACTAGCAATGATCTACTACAGTCATACTTTCCACCAAAGTAGAGCCGGTCCACAGTCGCCAAAAGACAGGTCACATTCCCCGGGCCTGCCCCAGGGCCTGCGCAACAATTGCTACACCTCATCAGTGTGTTAAAAGCTGAAAACACCTTGTTACAAGAAGGGTATCTTCCTCATCCCTCCATGGTTTTCAACCGCCTCCTCCCTTGCAGGCAGTCCAGCAGTGTTCGATCTGCTGCGTCTGAGTCGAGCACGGGGCCAGAGCAGCTCCCGCTTGTGTTCAATGCTTCCTATCTTTACATTTTTTTTAATCATTTACATGGATTTACTGCCGGTTGACGTCTCCACGTTAAACTGGCTAAAAAAGCATCATTAATCTATATCAGGTTCTTCTGAAAAGCACCTAGACTCATATTTAACGCGCTCTGGGGCCCCGCGGGGGGCCGGATCCCCAGGAAAAAGCACATACAAAAAACAACTAATTTTTGAAAATATAGTAGTGTAAATACCAGACTTCATAAGAACAGCCTGTTTGTATGGTGTAGTTGGTTATCACGTCTGTCTAACACACAGACGGTCCTCGGTTCAAGTCCGAGTACAAACACTTGTTTCTTCCGAAAGTGTAGTATATGGGTATCATTCCGGCCTTCCAAGCCTGAGAACCGGGTTCGAGTCCCGGCACTTTCATTTTGTCCATCTTTTTGTTGACCGGTAGAAGATGTTTATTTGCCGACCCTTACTTCCTTGTTTGCATGCAATTGCTCCTTGCCTGTTTGTCAGCCGGTGCCATCTAAAATGGCTTTTCTTTATCTTACAAATGAACAAAAAGATTCACCTCATATTGGTCCTACATTGACTCCATACTGATCTCCTATATACCAGCTAGAATCAGGATCTTGTGCACGCGAGATCTTTTATCTTATTGAAGTCTTTAATATGTCGAGGTAGCCCTCGGCTTTTTACGTTTACTGGGCTGCTCCATGCTACTCTTGAGTCGCTTCTCCTTGGTTCTTCCCTTTGCAATTGCAATCTTTGGGTCTTCAATGGCAAATAGACCCACTTTTCATTTATGGCTTATTCAGCATCTTCAGCGCCGCCATGCATATTCCTGGATGATCTAATGACTGGCTCGCTGAGTGTTTGGCTTTACCCATGATTGTGCCATAAAATCTGGCATTTAGCTTAGCCGCATTCAGTCGCATCTCCGTTGCTGCAATGAATAGATAGAGATCCATATGGCTGGTTGACGGGGCGACAAATAGCAGAGGGGTCGATGAATAATCACACGTTTACACAAGGCAGGGCAGGGGTCGGCAAATAAGCATCTTCGACCGGTCGACGAATAATCTACTTGGCAGCTTGGGCTGTCAGTCTTGTAGTCTTGTTTGACAATCTCAATTCTCGCAGGTAATCTATGTATTCATGTAACTCGTTTTTAATATCTGGTGCATGCTTCATTTTATGTTCCAGGATGCTTTTACATGGACTTCCTGCAGGAGGTTGACTGACAATGTAGGTTTTGAGTAGCACGATCTGAGCAGTTTCCGTAACCTCTCTGACTCTATGGTTTATAGCCGTCAAGAAATGTCTCCCGTATTCAGAACGACCTATTAGTTACGTGAAATTTGACCTACAAATAGTTTCGCATGAATCTTCATCTAACAATCGGAGGGGCGTACGCCGAACGGATATGAATATGGTTCATCAAATAAATGAAGTACTCTAACTTTTTCTCCACACACCACGCGCGTATCGGCAAAGAGCAAGAGCAAACAGCGGTCTCCGAGTAGAAAGTCCGGCGCGACGCTGACGCTTTCAGGGACAAGGCAGGACGCAGGTACCATTTACCCCAGGGCCTGTTTGTTACCTCCGAGATCCGTTTTCCCGACATCTTCATCGTGCGGTATATTTTTGTTTTTGAAACTAAAATCTTGGTTTATGTGCTCCAAGCAACCCCGCAATGTGTCATCCACGCTTGAAGTTTAATGATTTGTGCCCAATTTATCATCATGTGCTTGCGGGGTAGACCTCACTACAAACACTTGTCTCGATCTGCCAGACAGCTTGTTACTTTACAATTATCCACACTGCAATGACACTTTGCTGGATGCTAGGATGGTGCTGGCATCGCATTGGAGTCCATCTAGGAAGCAATCCCCATCAAGGAGAAATAAAATAAAAGGGGAAGAGGCGGAGGAGGAATTACAGGGGGTTTTCATTTCGCTCGCTTAGCCGCAACGTCGGTCCGGCGATCATCCTGCTGGAGACGGTTCTCCGAGATGGCAGATTTTAGCGATTTGCGCTGAAATCTGGCTGAAGCCTGGCACGCGCATGACGAAGGGCCACGAAAAAATCTTGATGGGCCATGAAAAAATGTTGGCGGGCCACGAAAAAGGTTCCTTTTTTGGGCGTGCCGGCCTTGGAAACGTATGGCCGGCAATTCTGCAAGAGCACTTTCGCCAACACACGTCACACACATCTCGGAGTGGTCCTGCTGTATATATCTTGGTCCGCCCCTCCCCTCCTCCGTCTCTTCTCTTCTCTCCTATCCGCACCCTCCCCTCTCTCCCCACTCTTCATCTCATCCAGATCAACCCTCCCCTCCCTCCCCCCACTTCTTGATCTACCCATCCTCCTCTCCATCACCCGTGCTGCATCGATCTCTCTCTTTCTGTTCATAATACACACATAATGTTTGCTTCCGGAGCTATTTCCCGCACCTGGAAGGTAAGCAGCCCGGAGTCAAAAGAGATCGCGCTTTTTCTTTTTTGTTCTTCCTTTTCTCTTTATCTCTCCCTCTCTGAATGCTGTTTCTCACGACGACACTCGGCGTCGCCGAACGCGGATGAAGGAGGGGGTCATTGATAGGCATCGCGGATATTGATTTGGTACTTCATTTACGCGTAATGTTTGGTAGGCTGCTGCCGTCAAGGCCCCTCTCCGCACCTTTGCCCAGGCTGCCGCTGGCTCGGCCCGCAAGGTCCAGATGTCCAACTTTGAGAAGGACCAGCACATCAACTACCAGCGCATTGAGGACAACTTGGCCATTGTCAGAAAGAGGCAAGTGTTTGCCGATCTAAAGAAAAAAAGGAAGCAATGGGGATCAAAAAGCGCACGCGTCTAACACGACCCCAAAAACTTTTTCTTTTTTCGCTGGAACGATTGAATCTTGTCGCTATCCCTGATTTTATCTCCGACAAACCGATCCGGTCTTTGAAAACAAAACCATGTCTAAACCTCGTTTCCGCTTGATGTCTATCTATCCGCGACGATTTAATCTACAACAGATTGAATCAGCCTTTGACCCTTGCCGAGAAGATCGTCTACGGTCACTTGGATGATGCCCACAACCAGGACATCGAGCGCGGAAAGTCCTACCTCAAGCTCCGTCCCGATCGCGTTGCCTGCCAGGACGCCACTGCCCAGGTATTTATTTCTTGATAATCGACAACTAAAAGGCATATGATATTGTGATTGTGTGAGAGCCCAGAAGATAAAATCGCTGACTCTGTACGCCGTGGACTTTGACTCCCGCTTTGCAATATACAATCATAGATGGCTTTGCTCCAGTTCATGTCTGCTGGTCTCCCCAACGTTGCTGTTCCCTCCACTGTCCATTGCGACCATTTGATCGAGGCTCAGGTCGGTGGTTCCAAGGATCTTGCCCGTGCCAAGGACATCAACAAGGAGGTCTACGATTTCTTGTCCTCCTCCTGCGCCAAGTACGGACTCGGCTTCTGGAGACCAGGTTCCGGTATTATTCACCAGATCATTCTTGAGAACTATGCCTTCCCTGGTGGTTTGATGATCGGAACCGATTCCCACACCCCCAACGCTGGAGGTCTCGGTATGGTCGCCATCGGGGTCGGTGGAGCTGATGCCGTCGATGTCATGGCCGATATTCCTTGGGAGCTTAAGTGCCCCAAGGTCATTGGTGTCAAGTTGACCGGCAAGCTGTCTGGCTGGACCTCCGCCAAGGATGTCATCCTGAAGGTTGCTGGTATTCTTACCGTCAAGGGTGGTACGGGAGCCATTGTTGAGTACTTCGGACCTGGTGTCGACAGCTTGTCCTGCACTGGTATGGCAACCATCTGCAACATGGGTGCTGAAATCGGTGCCACCACCTCTCTCTTCCCCTACAACTCGCGCATGTCCGACTATCTCAAGGCCACCACCCGTCCCTACATTGCCGAGTGGGCTGATTCCTTCCAGCACAACTTGAAGGCCGATGCCGGTGCCAATTATGATCAGGTCATCGAGATCGATCTCAACACCTTGGAGCCCCACATCAACGGACCCTTCACCCCCGATCTTGCCACTCCTCTCAGCAAGTTCAAGGACGCCGTCAAGAGCAACGACTGGCCCGCCAAGCTCGAGGTCGGTTTGATCGGTTCCTGCACCAACTCTTCGTACGAGGACATGTCCCGCTCTGCCTCGATCGCCAAGGAGGCCTTGGATCACGGCTTGAAGGCCAAGTCCATCTTCACCATCACACCCGGTTCCGAGCAGATTCGTGCCACCATTGAGCGCGATGGACAGATGGAGATCCTCAACGCTGCTGGCGGCGTCGTTCTTGCCAACGCCTGCGGCCCTTGCATTGGTCAATGGGATCGTCAGGATGTCCCCAAGGGCACCAAGAACTCCATCATTACCTCCTACAACCGCAACTTTACTGGACGTAACGATGCCAATCCTCAGACCCACGCTTTCGTGGCCTCCCCTGAGTTGGTCACTGCCATGACCTTTGCCGGTGACTTGACCTTCGACCCCACCAAGGACACCCTCATCGGTGCTGACGGCAAGCCCTTCAAGTTCTCTGCTCCCAACGGCAATGAACTTCCTCCCCGCGGCTACGACCCTGGTGAGGAGACCTACCAGGCTCCTCCCAAGGAGAAGGGTCACGTCCAAGTCCAGGTTTCGCCCACCTCTAACCGTCTTCAGCTCTTGGAGCCCTTCAAGAAGTGGGATGGCAAGGACATGGAGGACATGCCCATCTTGATTAAGGTCAAGGGCAAGTGCACGACCGATCACATTTCCATGGCTGGTCCTTGGCTCAAGTTCCGTGGTCACTTGGACAACATCTCCAACAACATGTTGATTGGTGCCCTCAACTCTGAGAACAACGCTGTCAACAGCGTCAAGAACCAGTTCTCTGGTAATTACGACACCGTCCCCGGCGTTGCTCGTGACTACAAGGCCAAGAACCAGCCCTGGATTGTCATTGGTGACGAGAACTACGGTGAGGGCTCTTCCCGTGAGCACGCTGCCTTGGAGGTCCGTCACCTCGGTGGTGCTGCTGTCATCACCAAGTCCTTTGCCCGTATCCACGAGACCAACTGCAAGAAGCAGGGTCTCTTGCCCTTGACCTTCGCCGACCCTGCCGACTACGACAAGATCGCTCCTTTCGACAAGGTCTCGATCCAGGGCTTGACCTCCTTCAAGGAGGGCGTTCCCCTGAACTTGCATGTTAAGAAGCAGGATGGCTCCAGCTTGGACATCAAGTTGAACCACACCTTCAATGAGGACCAGATCAAGTGGTTCAAGTTCGGCTCCGCCTTGAACCAGATGGCTGCCAAAGCCCAAGCTCGCGCATAAATCAAAGGCACACATGATAACGACGCATTGAAAGTTTTATTTCCGTATCTGCATTTTTGTCTGTTCGTTTGAATGATCGTTCTTTTTATTTTTTCTCTTTCCAACCTGTATAAATAATAAAAACTCTTGCAACTTACTTTTTGGTGTCCATGTGCATAGCCGAGAAATGGCGTTTTTTTTTTGTTGTCGTCACGGGATCGCGTGCTCTGCTTTGACTATGCTGCTCTGTGGGAGGGGATGAGGGTGTCGATACACAGGCTCGGTGTCGCTTGGTTTTGTTTTCACTCTTTTCTTCCTCATCATCTCTTCTTTCACACCTATTCTTCCTCCCTCTACCCTTCAAGAACAGACTAAAGCGCACACAATGGCCGATCAATTAACCGAGAACCAGTTGGCCGAGTTCAAAGGTAAAAAGAGGAAAAAAACCAACGACAACACTCCCTCACTCACACTTCAACCGAATACCAGTGGCAATCAACAAGACGCGTTTCCTCTAAAAAAATAATCTTGCGCGTGTTTTCCATCTCTATACCCATGCTCTGCCTTCTGCTTTTCTCATGTCGATTGGAATGAAATGCCATTGTCTGTAAATTTTGTTGAAACCAGCCAAGAAAACAAACTAAATAGCGGTAGCTAACAGACATCTTTTCGGTTTACTCTTTTTCGTCACGCGCCATCTCTATTTATGCGGCTCTGGTTTATATCATGCATGAAACCCGCTTTTAGAGGCCTTCTCCCTCTTCGACAAGGATGGCGATGGTACCATCACAACCAAGGAGCTCGGCACAGTCATGCGCTCTTTGGGCCAGAACCCAACCGAGGCCGACCTTCAGGATATGGTCAACGAGGTGGATGCAGATGGCAACGGCACTATCGACTTCCCCGAGTTCTTGACAATGATGGCCCGCAAGATGGTTGACACCGACTCTGAAGAGGAAATTAAGGAAGCTTTCAAGGTCTTCGACAAGGACGGCAACGGTTATATCTCTGCTGCCGAGCTCCGTCACGTCCTCACTAACCTTGGTGAACGCTTGACTGACAGCGAGGTCGATGAAATGATTCACGAGGCTGACGTTGACGGGTAAGGATTATTTTTTATTCTTGTATCACGAGTCTGGTTTGTTTTTTTTTTGTTTTTTTCTTCCGCGGGCTGCAGGCATATTATCACAGCGACTATTACTCTCATTTGCCCTTTCATCTCGCGTCCTTCCTGTTCTTCGTTTTGTTGCTTTAATGTTATGGAAGTTATTAAGAGCTGGTCCCTCTTTACTCCTTCTATAACTGTCCTTTCGCTTGCTTCTTTGTACAATCATGGGACGATGGTTTTTTTTTTTTTTTTTTTTTTTTTTTTTTTTTTTTTTTGGACGACCATATGATATGACTCAAGGGTAGGGGAGCAAAGACATGGATGAACGGTAACCCCTTTTGTCCCTGTTTCTGCTTGCTCATAAAGAGGGCACACACTGAAATGGTGGATGGCCAAGTCTGTGGGTTGAATTCCATTATTCTTTTTCTCTATGACGTCCTCTTCCCGAGCTATTCATCAAGAACACGTTCACTTTGCACTGTATTTGCACTGTTTATGTCCAGGGCTGAACTAGGCAAGCGTGATATATGCGCTTGATATGATATCATTAACGAGCTGACCTTTCTCTTTACTTATTTCTTTCCACGTTCAATAGTGATGGTCAAATCAACTACGAGGTTCGTAAACGCACAAGTGCAATTGGATACTGTCAACCTTCACACGAGGATTGTGAAAGTAACCCTGGGTTAATTGAATACTCTTTCTTACACGCTCTTGTACCACTTTTCTTTCCGCGCTTAGGAATTCGTTCGCATGATGATGAGCAAGTGAAAAGGATCTGTCACTCTTTGACCTGTTTATATTACTCAATGGAGGAAGGACGATCTTGCTCAGACAGAATCCTGCAGCCATAATGGATCTCCAGGAATATAAAGATAGCAAGAAAAAAATGAATGTCTTCTGTTTGTCTTTTGAGATGTTTATGATGTGTCGACTTGTGTGAAACGCGCTGCATATTGAAGGACCCTCCCTCCACTGCCCGCCTTTTGAGACATATTTGAACTCGCGTGAAGCGAGTTGCAGGGGCGTTATATGCCCCTGGAAAACCTTTTTTGTTTTAAGGGCACATTCATATGCGTAAGCCTAGTTTTTTTATTTTATTTTTTCATTGTGGATAGATCGCGTGTGGTATGTGATTATTCTCTGAGAAGGAGGAAGGAGGAAAACAAAAGAACACGCGTTCTCGCACAGATTTACGCGTCTTGCTACGAGAAGCTGACGCGTCGGGTTTGGCCGTGAAGGGATCCCAGGGACCGACCCGCAAAAGTGAGAAAAAAAATTCAACCCCAGCACAGAACAGCAACTCGATAAGCAATCAAGCAAGGCAAAGGATTTTTTTTTTACATGGGTTTAGATTCAATTGGGAGAGTCATTTCAGTTTCACACAACTTTGTTTTTTATGCTTCGGGTCCAGGGAGAGTTCTCGCTAGCGAAAAAAAAAAAGATAGCAGCGAGTAGCCACGACTAAACCCTACGGTTACCCCTCGCCAATTCTTATTTTTTTCGACTGACTGGGAGCGAGCACAGTTCATTCATTTTTCTCCATGATGAACGCGTGCTCTTTGGACGTGAATTTGAAAGGCTCACTGCTTGGATTCGTTATTCGGAGACACGGTTAAAGGCATTAGTATATTTATGATCTATTGAAGTGTTAAATGAGGAAGAATGAGCCCTTGAAGGTATTTATTTTATTCGTCAGCACTAGAACGAATAAAGGTAGTAACTGAAGATTGAAAAAGTGGGTACTATGCAGACATGGCGAAAATGAAAATGTGGTAAATATGGGAAACTTCCTATGGCTGAGTATCACACGAATGACAGAAACAGATGGAGAGCGAGAGCGAGAGAGAGAGAGAGAGATAGGTAAAAGATCTAGGCTGTCAGTCGGCAGGTCCTGATTGCAATGTGGGGGAAGGAAGGGGGGGATGGAAGCCGTATGGCGAACAGCGGGATGAGTAGCGAGCCTGGGAAGGAAGAGGATGAGTATTGTACAGGGGAGCCACGAGGAATATGCATGCAATGCAGGGATGTGGAACGTCAGCAGCAACAAAAACGATAGTATGCATGTAAGCCTTGTTACACCAAGCAGCCCCTCTTCCCATCTCTTGTTTCCATCTCTGTCTGAAAAAAAAAACGAGAGAAGGGTATGTATGCATCTTGGAAAGATCTATTATCCTTTCCGAGGTATAGTAACTCATCCTAGCAGTGGCAGTTTGCTGATGCTGATGCTGATGCTGATGCCGCACGTGAAGCAGGGTGAGCCCCGTCGTGTCAATGAAGCCTGTAGCAGCGACAATGAAATGGCTATTATTCCCGGAGTAGTTTAGACTAGCTACAATTCATGACATCATGGCCAATGCTACGAAATGCATTAGTGGATTTCAACGATGGAGGATCAAACAGGCCTGTTATTTGTGTGTGGGTGTGTGTGGGTGTGTGTGGGTGTATGTGTACATGTGTGTTCCTTGTTCATGGGGCCCCGGGGGCCCCTTCTTTTCAAATCCCTCTTTTCCCGCCCAACTTGTGTACATGTACGAAGAAGTCCGCAGGAGCGGTTCTGGGGCCCGTTGAGTAGAGTTGATTCGCTGCCGGTGCTTTTTAATTTTCCGCATTTATTAAAGAGATACGTATCGATTGATTTACTAGTCTTTACTGGTCTAGGATGGATGTATCCTCATAATATATACACATAAAAGAGAGAAAGTGTCCCGCCATTTGCCCCACACCTCCCGCAAACACGAGACGCTGAAGGGAAGCCTTTGTAACCTTTTTTTTCTTCTCTCTCTCTCTTCCCTTCTTTCGTTCTTTTTCTCTCTTTCTTTCTCTCTTTGCTCTCTCGATCGCCTAAACACTCCCTTTCTCCCTCCCTCCTTCCCTCTCTTCCTCTCCGTCTCTGTCGTTGACGTTTGAGCAGAAGAAAGAGTGCAGCAGCATATCAATAACGCAACAACAAAACACTCTTTTCTTGGACACAATTCAACTCGGATTCTACATACCACCAGCTGGCAACTACAACATCACAAACACCCAAACACGCATTCACAGGAACGCAGTCTTCTTTCACGCACCCGCCCATTGACCTACGCCAAAAAAAAAAAAAAAAAAAAAAAAAAAAACACGTCCAAACGCACATATATATACACACACACATACACACATATACGCATAACTACACACACTTGACCACTGCACTGTATTGTGCACTTTACTGTCGATCGAGTGTGAGAAAAAGAAAAAAAAAAAGAAAAACACACGGGAGACGAAGGATCCAAAATGACCCGGGCTGACATCTTGTGGCAACAGCAACTGGCGCTGGGACCCAGCTTCATCAATACACTGAGTCCGAGTCAGTACGTACGAAACGGTAAGGCCAAGGAACCAGGCACGCAAACACCAAAAGTCCGATCCAACACCCCCCCCTCCTCCTTCCTTTGCCTCTTTTGTTATTTCCCCCTACTTTAATCAATTCAAAAAAAAAATATTTGATGATCCCCCTATCATCTCATGCTAGTCCCATAAAGTGTTCTCAATGATCCTGGATCATTTTGTTTCGTCTGAGCACAGAGAAGAAAAGGAACAAAGGGAAAACTGAAAAGGTTAGAGGGTAATAGATAATAAGGAGAAGAAGAAAGCGATCGATGGCCCAAAGCGTTGCTGCTGTTGTGCTGTTGTTGTTACTAGGGGTGGGGTGGGGGTTCTTTATTTTCCTTCTGTATTTGCATGAACGAACATTTGTGGATTTTCGGGCGTTGTACACATTGTTTTCGTCCATGCGCTGCTTTGAAACCACGTTTTGGGATCTACAATTCAATCGCGCACAGATTTTTTTATTACTTTCTTTGACTTTGCATTCCCTTTTCCCCTTTTTTTTCTCCCCTTCCCCTTGTCAACCATTTCAGTTCCTGTTGCGCCATTTTCTGTCTGTTGGATCAATAAACAATACAGCACGACTCCTAGAAATGCGCGAGGGAATGTGGATACCGAGAGGAGATGAAGGGGGTCGAGAAACCGGGATATGGGACCAAGGGAATAAGAGCGCTGCCAATTTCCCGATTTCATTCTCTCTTTTTTCTCTGCCTCTTTATCTCTCTCGTTTGATTCTGTTTCTCAAAGAACATCTGAGGCCTGTGTGATGATGTATATGCGCTGGTGTGTTTCGTATGGACATATGGCGCTGTGCCATGCATGCATGCATGCGCGCATGCATCTAAACCTGCTCACTGCACTTTCATGTATAAATATGCTTTTTCTTTGTCCGAATGCAAGGCTAATCGCCCCATTCTCAGGACTCGGTATTTTCGAACGCGCTAAAACGAGAGTAAGAGAGCAAGAAAGCGAGAGAGAGAGAAAGAGAGAGAGGGCGGAAGAGGAAAAAGTGGAGGGGGGATTGAGAGCAGTCGATCTATTTTTCTTTATCTCCAAAAGGGAAGGAAGGCTCACTCTCTGAGTGCTGTATTTTAGCGATGGTCGCACAGCAACCGAGGTCTGTTCAGACTCTTTTTTTACACCCATTTTGGAGAGGGACAGATCCACAGACAAAGAAGCAAAAAGGGGACTAGGGAGCGGGACTAAAACAGGGGACAAAGAGAGAGAGAGAGAGGGAGAAGAGAGAGAAGGAGAGAGAAGAGACAGACGAGGGACGCTAGCGAGGCAGAAGGAGCAGGTACAAAGGTGTTGAGGGTGTAGAGGGGGTAATCGTGGAGCGAATGGCGGATGATGTGTCGATTTCGATTCATACACCCGTACACTCGGTCCAACTCACATCAAGTCGCCGTGCTTGCTTGGACAATCCTCCCTCCCCTTTGCCCTTTCTTTCTTTCTTTTCTCTCGTCTGCACAATGACCTCGATTGCTCTCTTTTTTTTTTCCTCTCTCTCTCTCTTTTGCTTGAATCAGTTGCAATAATAGCAGTAGCTGTAATAGTACATACGCATGTTTCCTTGTCGTTCGTCTCTTTCTCTCCTCCTCAGCAAAACAACAACAACAACAAATCCCTCTTTTTTTTCTTCTCTCTTTCTTCTCTCCCTTTCTTCTCTCTCTCTCTCTCTCTCTCTCTCTTACTCTATTACTCTATTACTCTCTCTCTCTCACGCACACACGCACTCGCGCACACACGCACCTCCCATCATCCAATCCCACTGCATCTTCTTGTCCCACCCACACACCCACACAGCTGTTGTTTGTGTCCCCACCCCTACCTTCTGGCTTTCCTGCTTTCTTTTCTCTCTCTCTCTCACACACACTCTCTCTCTCTCTCTCTCCGTTGCCTCATCCTTCCCCCGCCCTCAAGTTTGTCCCTTGCATCATCCCCCACTCCCTAGTCGCCTTTTTTAATCCTCCCTTGCTTCTTTTTTCTTCGTTGCTTAATCTAAACATCCAATGCTCCTGTCGCCGATAGATGACCCCTTCCCTAAGCAATCGATCCCTTCCTCATCCGTCACCTATTCCCGCTTCAGAGCCGTCCTCTTCAATGATCTCCTCGACAGCAACCCCATCAACAGGGCCCGCGCCCTCGACAACATCGTCCAGATCGTGACCGAATGGGCGCGCGTCGTCACCGACAACGGCGCCCTCGCTGACCTGACCCGCCCAGGCTCCTTCTCTGCTGCCAACCTCACCCCTCCCTTCAGTCCCGCAGGTGCCGCCGGCGGTGCCGCGTGCTCCATCGAAAGCACCCTCTTCCCCTCTGTACCCCCAGCTGCATCCTCAGCAGGTGCAGTCCCAGCAGCACAGGACGACCCTTGCCAGCAGACACTCCCCAGTGCCATCGAGAAGCTCACCATCTCAACACATCCTCACCACCGAACCTCCTCTGTCGAGGACTCAATAGTGTCTCCTCACCGGCCTCGGTCCAGAAAGGACTCCTCCATGTCTGCGTCCTCGCCCAGCTCCAGCTCGCCCAGCTCCAGCGGCGTTTGCCACTCGGCCTCCTCCTCGTTCTCGACCGCAACCGCTGATGCTGCCGGTGGCCAGGGCGCCGCCCTCTCGTCCTCGCCCATGACCTCGTCCAGCTACCATTTCCAGAACGACCCCGACGTGCACTTTAACCGACCCCTACCTGACAAACTGTCTCCCATGGAGGAACGGGTTGCAGAGGTCGATGAGGCTGCGAGACTGTTGCGCCACCATATCCTGACTATCCTCCGCTTCTCAATCTGCTGCCCATACAAGGACGTCAAAATTTGTCTTGTGGGTCTTCTGAATGAACTTGAGGTAAGGCAACATTCTCTTGATCTACTACTGCCCTTCCTCATGTTGTTTACCTCTTGCCTCATATTCTATGTCCTGTGGATCATGAGCGCAAAACACTCACTGACACTATTTCTTAAATATGACAAATAGTCGCTTCACATTCCCATCCCGAAACCGATCCACTCTTCAGCATCGTTCTTTATCGATCCTAAAGACATTTACTTGCTCGACAGCCCAGACAACTCCAGATGTGCCTCGCCTACACTCTCTGCCAAAGACCGCTCGCCTTCCTCATCTTCGCTCGCCACTCTTTCGCGTACCTCAGGCTGTCTTCCCCCATCCTTGGGCTGCGTGCCAGACGAGGCGACAAAGCAGATCATGACACAGACGTTCCTTCACTACGGCCGGACCAGTAACCTCTTCCGTATCATGGCCTTCTTTCCTTCCTTCTGGGAAAAGTTTGAGAACTCGCAGCAGATTATGATGAATGGACCGGGACCTATTCCCAAACCGTGGCGGTGTTATGTCGCGATCATGGTAAAGTAGCGGGAACAACATGATTTGATCTGATAGGACGAACCAAGACGTCCTAAGCAATCTGACATCATGTTATACAAAATCCTGGCGCTAAAAACATCTGTACTTTCCGCTCTATCCTCTTTAGGCTGCCTCTCAATACAATTGCCAATATATGGTTTCAATGATGAAGCTAGACTATTTGACGAGCGGTGGCGACCCCACCTGGTTGAATGGTCTGCAATTCACGACCCAAAAGATCAGGAACCTAGCAAAGCTCAATGGACTAATGGCTCACCAGCCATGGCTACTTAAGCCCAGGCACGTTCAGGAGCTCGTCTGCCGCGAATCCAACCATAATCCCCACAATGTCTGGACCATTAGTGAGCTGGCTCAAGTAATAGTCATCATGGCAACGGTCCACAGCATCAGTATGTTTGTCGCGACCTGTGGTATTGTCCCCGAGATCGACATGGTTGGAGGCACAGTCGTGGATATGTCAAAGATTCAGACGAGAAAGTCTCAGGACGAGAGTATGATGAGCCCGCTGTCAATGCTTCCCTCCCCCCAACCCGACCTGGATTCGGGGGCAAAGTCACCCCACACAGCTTCGTCTGCAACGACATCAGATCAAACACAGGATCGTGCCCCAGGCGAGGACCTGGTTCGATCTCCGTTTTATTTTCACATCACACTTCCACCAGCGCCTATCACCAAGAGGACATACGATGAGGCGACGTCGAAGATGCACACTGCAGAGTTGATTAAGAGATTAATGGAAACGGACGCCTGTTACAGCTATGGAGAGGACGGAGATAGCGATGCGGATGCGGATCAGGACCCCACAGAACAGAATCTTCCTCCAGGATTTGAGGAGATTGAAGACAGTAAGCTTTTTTTTTTTCTTTTTTTTTCCTTTGCGCTAGGAGCCGAGTACTGTAATGGCAGCTCATGTTGTTCATGTTGCTCATATATTGACACGATTACTCGTCCCTTCTTTTTTTTTAGCATTTCCTGCACCCGAGACAAGAATTATTTCGCCACCCGTTTCGACCCCGCTGACGGAGACATTGTCGGGTCAAGAGCCGACAGAGAGAAAATTTCGACCGGTGCAGGAAGACATGAGTCGTTTTCTGGACATGGGATGCCAGGTCGAACCAGCATTGTTCGACTGCCGATCGAGGCTCTACAAGGTCTTCAGAGTGCACGAGTTCCGCTGGGAGGATGACGCCTCGGCCCTTCTTTCAAAATGTCTTCCAGAACTCAGCGAAAGTCTCGAGGACGAGTATGCGGAGACATTAAACTTTACGGATCTCAGCTTCTTTGATGAGAACGGCGAGAAGCATGAGGGAGGCGTCGATACGTTTGCTTTCCGACAGGCGATCTGGTTTTACACCCTGCGGCTGTGTGGACTATTGCATCAGGAGTATAACTACCGAAACCTGTCGAAATTCATGAACACGACACTGGCAACGTACATCCGCAAGGCGTGTCATGGCATCACCATGGTTGAGGCACCAGTTCAGGAAGGATCCGAGAGCGGTCTACAGTCGCAGATGTATCTGTCGGACATCAACAAGATCGACAAGAACGACTTTGAGAACATGGGCTTTGAGCTGCGACCGGAGGAGCGATGCCACATCAACATTATCGTGATGGAGGCATGCAAACAGGCCAAGTTGATGTATGCGCTGCGCGCTGTCGACCGGTGGGAGCGGAAGGGCGAAGGAGACGAGGAGGAGGACGAGGGCGCTGATGATCGATTCTAAGTCAGTCCCCGTTTTCTTTTTCTTTTTTGACACCAATGAACGGCCTCAAGGAGGTTCGTCCGAGAAACAAAGCAAGAAGCCTTTTGGAGGCATTAGAGGTATTCGACGCGTCATCTGCACTATTATTTTTCTCGTTTTTTTTCTTTCTTTTTTTTCTCCTTTCTCACTCTTTGTCTCTGCCACGCCAAATCACATACACACAAAAGTATTTTTATGAACTCACTCCTTCAATTGCACGCAAAGATATTCAATTTTATACTTCCATGAACTTCCTGACAATTCGCACATGCACAAAGTCCATCCATTCTATATACCATACCATTGTATGCCCCAATACCCTCCGCTCCCTCCCCTTCTCCCCATTCGTTTACTTGTTTGTTTAGTCTAGCCCAAGCATCATATATATTTCTATTTCAATTTGCTTCATTCTGCCTCTATACCCGAATGCCAAAAAAAAAAAAAAAAAAGCTTTGCACACCTGAAAGTGTATGTGTGGCTATGTCGAGCGAGACGCAAATAACTCGGATGATGATGATGGTCCAGATCTAAAAAGGGGATTTGAGAAGAAAAGGATAGAAGGAAAAGGGCGCTGTCCAATCGTCGGCTGACTCTGAATTTGTGCATTGAATTTAGGGCGCTTTAACCAGTGTCGTGGGTGGCAACTGGGTACTACTACTTTTAATTTGAGTGAAGACTTTGTACTGCTCCGTATGTAGAGTGTGCAATGTGCGACGTAGAGTAGCTGTGAAGATATATATCAAAGAAGTGTGGATGTACAGGACGACAGCGTGGCAAGCTGTACGACGCCTACGCAAAGAGGATGGAGTCGTTGTTATTGTTGCTACTATTGTTATTGTTATTATTATTATATTATTATCATTGTTAGTATCATTGTCATTAGTCTATCGCTGTGTCCGTGTCCGTGTCCGTACATCGACTCCGCCTATTTGTCTTCTTTTTTTTTTATTGAACGGAAGGATGAACCTGACATGATGCTAACGATGGATTGCAGGTAGCAGATGCACACACCATCCCCCCAGACGTTCTCTCAGCGCTTTTTCTTTACTCAAGTGCATCACGAGGAAGACATATGTATTGCGGCGATCGGCGAGGGCGTGTTGCAGCTCTTTATTTATTGTTGTTGTTGTTGTTGCTGTAGGTGCAGTACGCGACTGGTCTGGGTTTCGCCCCTGCACTGTTACTCCTCCCCAATAATAGACGCACACTGTGCACAGCCAGCCTGCGGTTTGGCATAATTCCCCCCATCCTCCGGCCCACACCTCGTCTCCTCTACGCCCCATCTGTCACTCTTTGCCCACTTTCCCTTTCCTTTGCCTTTTATCCCTCTGTCCCCCTGCATCCTCCAATCCTCCATCCGCCGCCTTCTTTTTCTGCAGTCGCTGTCTCGTTCCTCCGCACTTCTCCCCCTCCCCGTTGCACTCTCTCACTCGCTCGCTCGCTTGTCTGTCTGTTCTCCCTCTCTGCGCCGGTGCATCTCATTCCTCTCATTCATTTCATTCACAGAGATCATTCCCATCGCCAACAAAAGCCCCCTCCTCTTCTCTCCCTTGCAGCCTCCCTCTTTTCTGTAGCAATATCACACCATGCTTCCGAGGCCAAAACGATTCATCCTCTGCGGCGTCCCCGTAACGTACGAGCTCGCTCTCCGCATCTTCCTCCTCGCAGTAACCCTCGGAATGCTCGTCGCCGCTTCCCTCCCAAAGATAAACTCTATCCTACAGCAGGCTAACGTCGTCTCCGTGAGCTTGACCGAGATCGACACGATCGCTGCTCCAGGCATGCTTGTCTGTGGTGAACGTATGGACTCTGTCGATGTCCAACTGCTAACCCGCGGAGTCACCTACCCAAACGGCACTAACGGTCCCGATGTTGTTAGACCTGCTCCTGCCGGTATGTGAAAGCCGTAGAACGCGCCTTTTTGTTGTTTTTTCACCTCACCTACACGCGGCGTGCTGCATGTCACCCTGGACGAGGTCAAATCTGAGACCGATACAGTTAGGCATAAAATCAAGAAAGGCTTTAGCACTCAATCATGCTTCCCTTCATACCATCATTTAGAATTTATCAACATATCCAGTGCTACTGCGCTCAATCTACGTGCCAATGGCGACTGGCCCTCGGAGGGCAATTGTGTGGTATTCAGTCCGAAGGGGAACGTTCTCTTTACAGAGAACAACGATGGATCAAACAGGGTATGGCACACTACGGACTATGTTCATTGTTTGTCTGTATATTTGCCAATGCGTGCTACAGATACTCAACTCGAATTTATATTGTTCCTTCTCGTCTTGACTTAGAACGCAACGGACCAAATCATCTTTGTGGTGCAAAGTAATACCAATTTCACCGGGGCAGAGGATGTTGGCCTATCGATAGCGATGTGGGTAAGAGACTCTGTCTTCTATGCGGACTTTGACCGAGATTTTTGCATCCAGATCACCCAGGCCGACCAAGGCATTGATTTATTAACGATGCTGTCACTTCTTTGTTCTCTATCTTACGACCATTTCAGGATGGCAATCTCGAGATGCAACTTCAACAGGCAATGTGGGTCGGGATTCGTAAGTTGAACGTCGACGAAGGTGTGAGCTGATGATTTCTCATTGTGCTTGGATCGTAGTATTAACCATTCATCTGGGTTCCAATCGTCACTATCATTTAGCGTCGATCAATACCCTGACATTTGTCTATACCGAGCACAAGGTACTGAACTCCGCCGAACCTCAGAAGCACTACACCCTTCAAAAGGTACGTTTCTGATCTGTGCCTTTGCGCAACAAGGATAACGTCAGTTTATGTCAGCCTCGTTCTTGGCAACTCACAATCTGCTTTAAAATAATTGCTACGGTGTCTGGCAGCAAAATCTCCGGATGATGCATGCTGGATTTTTCGAAGACCAGAAAGTAATCGGACGGGTCCTCATCTCTCCAGACACGTTCTACGTCAACAAATACATCGACAAGCAAAGTTACACGTGGGTCGACCTTGCAGGAGCCGTCGGAGGGTATGGTGCAATAATGAGATCTCCGTTTCCCATTCAAACATCGTTTGCTTCTTTCTCACCATAGTGTCCTTATCATTTTCCTTTTACAGAATGGCATCGATCGCCCTGGCAGTCTGGATCTTTTTGTTCGGGAGTGGCAAATACAAGAGCTGGGGCATCATGCAACGATACATCCTGCGAACCTCACCCAATTCAGAACGTTATCCTACCCAGAACGGAGAACAAGGGCAAAGGAGCGTATACGAGGCCACAATATTATTTTTCAAAAAGCAGCTCTCACGCTTAGACAGCAGTGCAGATCCTGATCAGTTGGATGATCATCTCCCGCTCAAGTCCCCCGGCTTGACCTTACAGGATCGGCGGCTCTCGGCGCGGTATAGCACAGCGATGAGCATGAGCACTGCCAACGCGGCGGCCGCTGCAGTGACAGGGGGGGCTGCAGGCTTGACGATACACCCGAATAAGGGATCCGGCAATGCAGATATGGATCATATCGCCTTGGGTCGATACTCGGCGGAATCCTCTGGTGGACCGGCAAACTACTACTTTTCGGAGCAGGGTATACCTAGATCGCAGTCGTTGCGACCGTTGGCACCGATTAATGCGGAAGGCGGAGAGGAGGATGAGGAGGAGCAGGTGAGTGAGTTGATCCGGTTGATTGACCTGAGGATCGACGAGCGCATGTGGAGTTTGGAAAGGACGTTGGCGAGATATTATCTGGAGGGATTCAGGTTGCGCAATTATTCGTCGCAGTTCCTTAATGGGGGAAGGGCATCTTATTACCCGGTAGGAGACATTTCGCCGGGGATGCCCAGGGGTGTGCGGGATGAAGAAGAGGGATCGGATAGATATTCCCGCCTGGAGCTGCTACACACACACTCAGGAAGCTCTGGGGATTATACAGCCTACTCTGGATCGGATCTTTCTACGCCCGCTGCACCGCCGTACCCTCCTCGACCGCAAGTGAGGCAAGAATATGGGTACATTGGTGAGGCAGTAGCTGGTAAGGAGGAGAATTCCAAACCAGCTCCTGCACCAAACTCAACATCGACATTAGCATCGATGTCAGTGCCAGCACCGGGATCAACACATACACATGCGCCGATGCATGCAGCAAATCGGCCGCCAGCAGGACCATCATCGCAAGGGGGAAGCAGCAACAGCCTGCTTGAACCACCTGGATTCCCACATCGGAAGGACATGAGAGGCACGATCCGGCGGGCAGTGGAGAGGCTGCAGAACGAGTGGCCACAGAACCAGGTACCAGAGGTGCCGTATGTGCCCAGGACGCAGTACCAAGGCGGAGGAAACAATGGAGGTGGTCCTTCGCGGTTTTAAGCCGTGAAAGACATGAACTGAGGAGCTCCATTTTATACATCTTTCTGAATAAAAGTAATAAAAATTAAAAATTAAAAAAATAAAAGTAATTGGCTAATGGTCACCGTGTAGGATACGACTACGCGTCGTCTGAAAAGCTTATGTGGGTAAGTATTCATTTTGTACGAACCATTATCCTCAACGGGAAGTTGTTCTCTGCTATGATGGATGAAGGAAAGAAACTAACGGCTTTATTACATAATAAAATGGTATTATACTACTACGTATCATGTACTTAACACCTGTCTGTACTCGTGTTTAGCTTGTGTATAACCGGCAGTTATTGAATCGGCGGCAGATTTTGTATAATAGTACTATTTGCAGTCCAAAAGTAGCTGGCGGTATTGGTTTGAAAGGCTGGGTATTTCTCCTGAAGGTCACGGCGTCTTGGCTTTTTTTTTTTCTCGATTTCTGTGTTGTTGATAAGTTGTGGATAGCGGATATTTGCGCTCTCTTCATCAGTGTAATCGAATTCATTGGCAAAGATTTTGCATTGAGACATGGCCGTCGTTGTCCTCGTTTATTTGGCTGGGCCTCATTCAAGGTTGCATTCCGTCTTGATCTGCCTCATTCCATGCGACGCATTCATCCGGTCTTCCACGTCTCGGTGCTCTCGAGCCCTCTAACAAGAACGGGGACCGCAGGACGTGTTGACCCTCCGCCTCCTCCAGTTGAGGTTGAAGGCGAGGTCTGAGATATTTTATTGGGGAATTTGGATAAGTGAGAAAGAGATGTGGGCCCACACACCACGCTGATTTGGTATTTATATGTATAGAATCTAATGGTGAGCTGCAGGTACACTTATTAAACTAAATAAAATACACTGAACTCTGGTGAAATATGCAACATTCAGTGCTAACTCCTGCTGTTGAGGTCGCCCAGAGGCAAACCCGCGGCTACCTGTGCCGCCCACTACACCGGGGGTCCCACGCTGGGTCGGGGTAGCGCCTGGGCGCCAAAAAACAGCCTCAGTCCGGGACCATATTATCATATAGCCAAAAATACTAAATATATATAAGTTTTTAAAACCTGCCCATTATGTTGCGTGAAATCGGAATCGGGGCAAGATAAGGTAGGCTTGTAGAGGAAGGCAATGAGCGGGTGGGGTAGGTAAGGTAAGTGCAAGGGAGGGTAAAGTGGTGGATAGGTGGGGAGGTAAGGTAGCTGGATAGGTAGATAGGAATCGTAATGGAAGGGAAAAGGGGGACAAGGGGAATAAAACTTCAGTCAAGTCGCAAAGGGTACTATATCATTCTCTAGGTGGGGAAGTCGTGCAAATAAGGAGAACGTGCAATTATGGGGCATATGCAAATAAGGAATACTTGCATATATGGAATATAGGCTAAGTGGCTGTGTATAAAATATGTAAGTCTATTGACTGCAGCGAATATCCGAAAATAGCTCAGTTGGTAGAGCGGGAGACTGTAGTTTGTCTGTCATCTCTAGGTCCCTGGTTCAAATCCGGGTTTTCGGATACCTTTTGCTCTCGAGAAAGACCCGATCTGAAAACTCCCTCCGTCCCGTATGGGACATTCAGGGTGTTGGATCCTAGTTCATTTTTCGCTCGCTGTGGAGAAGCTATATAATACCCTAAAGATACTGCTCGCAAGTGTAGGGGCGCTTTCTTTTGGGGTGCTTACGCTGACGAAAAAAGTGTTTTGAAAAAGTGGGGTAATGTGAGATTAAAAGGGCGAAGTAATGAACAAGACGTGGTTGAGGTAATCTGGAGACCGTTGATTGTGTTTTTATAGTGGGATCATAGTGGCGCGCAGCAAACCCCATGTAGACCTCTACGTTTATTGTCAAATATGATAAAGTTCTTATGACGGTAGTTGCGGGGGCTTTCAAGGAGTGAAGGAATACAGGCGAGGATGGTAGGTAGTCTATCCATTGGACATGTTTTTTACTTTCAAGAGCACCGTGCGCTCTAAACCTTACAGAATGTGCTTAGCCCTGATCGTTTGATTTCTAGAGGGGGAAAGTGTAAGCGAATGCTGTGTATGGCCTGGCGACTCACCGCTTCCCCCTGTCCACAGAATGATCACCTTCATAATGCTGTTACCTCAGCGCATTCTCAGATTCAAACTTTCTATCCTTTCGCTTTTTCGGGTTGTAAAATCATTGTTCTCGATGTAGTTCAGATCCTTTTATTAAAATCCTCATTTTAAGCAAGTACTTAGAAGTCTCGGTCCAAGCTGTCCATTGCAATCAATGCTTTTTCTCCAACACTCGCTCAAAAGCGAATAGAAAAAAAAAAGTGCGACAGAAGACAAATCAAAAACCGCTTAATAGAAGGTCGAGGGGCGCGAGCCCATGAAGAGAGCGCGGTGAGACTTGTCGGCAGCGCGGATGACGCGGTGGGGCAAGGGGAACTTGATGCCAGGAACCAAGATCTGCTTGATGTAGGGACGACGGACATCGGCGTTGGCCACCTCGGCAACACGGATGATCTGGATGGAGCGAGAGCGGGCGCGGTGGCGAGAAGCCATGTCGGAGTAGCAAGCCTCGACAGCGGCAACGCGAGACAACTCACGGTACTCCTTGTACATGTTGTGGGTTCCCGAGCGGGAGTCGTAACGAAGCCAAATGCCGAAGTTCTTGGTCTGGAGGGGCTTCTTCTCGTGGATCTATGTTTTTTCACACAGCATTTCCGAAATCCTCTGGGATTAGTTGCTGCGCTCCAATGCTCTGAGAAAAAACACAAGGCAGCATATCCGTTCTCTGTGCTGATCACATACCTCGTTGATGCCGACGATCTCGCCGTTAACCTTCTTGACCTTCTTCAGCTTGCGCATGAAGTACCAGAAGCGAGACTTGGCAATGACCTCGTTGGGGGCAAAGAGGCGCATGCGGAAAAGCTTAGGAGTGGACTCCTTCTCGGTGGGGAGATGGCGACCGACCAATTGGTACTCGTGAAGCTATTGGACCATCAATAGGTTCCACAGTAGTGACCAGATTGAGTGGGTAGAGATAGAGAGAAAGACGAACCAAGTAAGATACTGGTCAAATCGTTGATGTGGAGAGATGTAGGAGGGGCAAGTGAAAGGAGATCGTGCAGGGACAGAGGTCGAATAGGAATCCTGTCCTGAATATATTTGCCACCAATCTTGTCATACCGCCCCAGCTGCTGGAGGTCTGCTAATACCGTTGATACAAGTCCCTCTCTAAACTATCACTCCACACCTTAATACGCGGCGTCGGGTGCAGATCATTCGGAGAAACACAATAGCGGTGGTGATAGCGACAATATAATAAAATCGTAGGTATCCGTCCCCTGCTTTCCTGATCGCTGACACGCTTCCCGGATCAGTTCCCCCTGCAGATCTTTGACCCTGAACCCTGAGACCACCAACACACAACAGATTTTTGATGAAGAAAAATATCCATATGCACGACCCCAGGGCATTAAGAAGTTGCTGCCTCAGAGATGTCTGCCTGATGGTTGTACTAGACCGGGCGGGCCGATTGATGTAGACCTCAAAATGGGCTGTGTCCTGACTTCTCTGACGATACTGATCATAGCCCAAGCAATTGTCGATGGAAGGGGGGGAAAGTTGGATGGATGTCGATAATAGAGCTATACGCCGATGGATGGACGCCAACTCCTGGGTCTCACGGATGGATGTATCGGTAGATGATCACGCACTCTGGACATGGCTAAGAAATCTGCTGTTTCGAAAAAGAAAGAACCATCCTGGCCTGCTCGATTGATCGAAATTTGAGCGTCCAATCAGGTGATGCCGCCACTAAGTTCGCGTACACAAACGGTGACAAACCATTGCAAAAAGTGATTATTATTTTAGTGTATAGAGTCAGGCTATTTGTAAAATGGATGAATGAACAAAAAGACAACGCCTTCTTGGGTATGTTATCGACGTCCCCTCCGGAGGCTAGGTCGTCATTTTAAGCAGCAACTGGACCTGCCTCTGCAGGTCTCGTAGGCTCTGTCAGCTTCTTCGTCGACCTCCAAGGCAGCAGCCGAATAAACGTAAACTTTTTCTTCTCGTCTCCTGTACCGGCACCACCATTGGCTGCACGCTCCCGCTCCTCCTTCTCCTTCTTTTCAGCGTCAAGGTCCGTGCCCTTAGCCCTCAAGGCAGCAATACGCCGCTTCAAATTCCTCAAACTCTTTGGCAGTGCGAAGGTCTTGGCGCGCGTCGGATGCAGTTTGACCTCTGTACCTGTTGTTGGTTCACCATTGGGTCCATCCACCCCTGCTCCCATGGATCGATCCACAACCACTTCTTCTTCGGACTCTTCCTCCGCAGGCAGATAACTAAGGTCTGCCAAGTCCGCGGCGCTAGTGTTTGAGTGTGCTCTTGAGGGGTTAGGGTGTACTGCAAGGGTATTGGATGGTCGCAGCGAGGGCGAAGGGGTGTGTTGAGAATGAGTTTGAGATTGAGGTCGGGACCGGGATGTTTGAGGCTGAGGATGGGGTGTGACCTGGTGGTTTCTGAGTGAGGAAGGAGCATGGCTATTGGCGCTGGTCTTTTTGCCAAAGATGCGGTCCAGGCGAGACCTCTTCTCCGGTACAGCCCCGTTAGCATTGCTGCTGTTGAACTTGCCGTTCTGGTATGACCCAGCATCGCCATTGCCACCCTGTTGCTGGTGCTGTTGCTGCGACTGTCCGACTGGCAGATTTTTGTTGAGGCTAGTGTTGCTGCGATTATTAGGCGTTCCTCCGTTGTTGTTTTGGTATTCTTGTTCCTCCACTGAGATAAGGTTTTCTGCGTCTCGATCGCTTGATTCCTTCATGGCCTCTTTGAGCACCTGGGCCTGATCATTGGGGAAAATGGAGGTTAGACACGGCTGGTTTCGTCTTCAGGACATTGTCGTTTGCCACGCAAAGATGTTCACCTTTTGGATGTTCTCTTCAACCTCGCGCTGAAGACTCTCTCGCATGTTGACCCGATAGTTATCAAACTAAAGATATGATCGTCATAGAAAGTGTTAAAATCAGATGAGGTTGTTTAGTTCGTTGCTCATCGATACACTAGCGGGAAGCACGTTTTGAGGGAAAGTGTACAATTGCAATAACTGATCAAATCAATTGTTTATCAGAGCCCTCTCTGAATTCGTCCTGCTTCTTAAAAAAATGCCAGGCGATTGGTTACAGGGATCCCATCTCTTAACGACCCTTTGAGACATGTACCCGCGATACTTGCCTGTGCAATGAGATCAATCGCAAAGGAGGAGAGGACCGGCGCTGCTGTGACGGACATCATCGAGTTTTTTCTCGGCGTATTGGAGTTGGAGTTTGCGTACGGACGGACTGGCCGGGGAAGGGGCTGGGCTGAGGTGCTGTGAACACTAGTCATTGTCTGTGAACGCTTTCTGGTATTTAGGAATCTAGGTCTCTTGCTTCTGCTACGCACTTTCGGGGTCAGAAAATAAGCTGAAGAAGACGAGGTTTGTTAATAACACCATCAATTGAGAATGTTCCCTTGGGTGGGTCCACTCTAGATCCACAAGGCGATGCAGGAAGGCACCCAACAGCAATTAGGCCTCCTCAACTTGTATCATGGCGCCATACCGGAAGGCAAAGCAAATTGTTTGTAATAGCAAGGAGGCGAGGAAGGAGAGGGACAGATGGGTGCGAAGTGGAAGAAGCTATAGGCTTTTCAATGATAGATTATGAGAATGAATGGAAAAAGGGGAGCCAATCAACACATTCCCGCATGGCATATCGACCATTGTGCACAGGCAGCAGAAAGTAGCGAGAGGTGGCTGGCACGTCCACTGCTGCCGCTCCCTTACCCTCTTCTCGTCCCTTGCTAGGACTTCTGTCAACGATAATAAGAAATTGGTCGCAGACAATTCCATTTGATTGTTGTGAGCACTACGACTCAAACAGGGGAGCATGGTCGCAGTAGACCATCAACATGAACATCCAGGACACTTGCTCTCTTGTCTCCTCTGCGGTCCTGAGAGTAGCCTTCCTCCCTGAGCAGCAGGAGCAGGCCTGGTGCGTAGCACCATGACCTCGCATCCATCTATCCATCTGGCGGCTGTTTATAGAACAGGCGAGACAATTTGCTTTCCAGTAAGGGTGACCGGGATGCAGAAGAACAGACCCATGAGACAAAGGGAGGAAACATGGGATGGAGCGCAGACAGCATAAAGACGACAGAGGGACTGGATAGACCACTATGCTATACCTCCTCCTCCCTCCCAAAAACAAGGCCATACACACAAAGCTCTGGAGAACATGTTTTGGTGTACCTCTGCGGCGCATCCTTTAAAGAGAACGACTGATGTAACTGAAGCGTACCTTTGCACCCTTTGTGCTTCCTGTTGTCTTCGCTGGAAGGCTTTTTTGTCGTGAACAGGAAACGAGAGAGGAGAGAACTATGTCTGGACGAGTCTTCTCAATAAAGGATACTGGTGGGGATTGGATCTGTAGAAGAGGGGGGGTCTCCTTGCGAGGAGTGGCGACAAAGGGTCGGAATGGAGCGCTATGGAATGAGAGTCGAGGAGGGGAGTGAAGGAAAGAGTAGCGGAGGCGAGGACAAGGAAAGAAGGTGCGATTTCGTGAGAGCACTCGCTCCATGCACAACCACCACGCCCTCTCCTGTCCTTCCTGTTCACACAAACAAACTCCTTGCCTCTAATTAATCGCGACTCACTCACTGACTGGCCAGGTCGTCTTCCCGGACCACAACGGAGTGCCCAGCCCAGGACGTCCAGGGAGTCCAGGAAAGGGCCGCAAGAGGAATTCTACTGCCATTCGCGTTCGTATGCAGCGCACCAACAGAAACACGTTTTCCCTCTTCCTTTCATTGATGTCTCTGATGCCTTCCTTCCCCTCCTCTGCACATGCATGACATCCGCGCTATAGCATATGCACGCAGATGAACGAGCTCTCTGTGGACTCACTCAAATACACGATGTCGTAGTCCTGCCTGTAAGTCGGTTGTGCGGGGAGAACGGGATTTCTCTTTTCCCTGGTGCTTGAATGCCTGTCTCGATCGCCCCAACACGTCTGCTGGTGGATCCCGTCGCGCGTTAATACTGAGGCTGGACAGGGTGCAGTAAAAAAGAGCCGCAACCTCTCTCCTCGAGTCAACCAGGGGCAGTGCCCGTCTTTGCGCCTATTAATAAAACAGCGGCATGCATTCACTTTCATCTGCATCGATGCACATGAAGGTCGTTTGTTTTATTTTATTTTCTTTATTGCTCTTAACTTAAAGAGTCGCTTCGTGGGAGATACCAGTAATTGTAGCTACTTCCTATCCCATTCATCTGGAGATGGGGATTGGGCCACCAGCGTTCTGGGCGGCGGGAAGTAGGGCACAGGATCTAACGGAAATGCGTCTACGAAGGACAGCGACCCTCCGCCTTTGAACGCGAACAGGTAAACTATGGGTGTCACGGCCACAATGTTCAATTGGACACGAGGAATCCCCATCGTCGGTGTTTACTCGAAAATTTTTTCGAACCTTTTTTTTTCGACGTGTTGCGGTCCCTCCATCCGCTTTCATTTCCTTCGTCTTGATTAGCATTCCTCCTGTCTGCATTCCACGTCGTCGCAACAAGCTGCAGCAGAAGCAGGTGCAGGAGCAAGGTGCGGGAACAACAACAACAGCAGCGGTAACGACGACAGCAACAACAACAAAAAACACGATTGTATGCGCTTTGGATAATGATTTGTTGCTGAAAGCGTATAGTTCTCAGAAGCTGCTACCTCAAAACCTGTCCGCAACTTTGCTAGCCAGTTGAGCCCCCCTTGAAGACGCGTTTTTTTTCTTTTTTCTTTTCTATGCCGGCGGTGGTTCCATTTGCCTTCTGTAGACTTACGCGAGTAAAAAAGAAAAAAAAAGCGAATGGACAAAGCAATTTCACTTTAATATCTTTTTATTTCCTCGATGTATAAAAGTGTCGTGCCATTCCATTCTTGTCGCGTTTCGGCGGACGTGTGTCGCGTGTGTCGCGTGTGTCGCGTTCTGTTATGGGTGAGGATCTCTCCCTGACATTTGCTGGTCAGGCTCATCATTATCTTCGAAAAGGGAGGGAAGAACAGGTTTAGAAAGACCATTTTACGCAGCAGTAGTATTGCGGCTGCTGCTTATCATATCTGCTATGTGTCGAGGTTTGCGGGAAGGATGGGACTTTTTTTTTTTTGGCTTGACTTTCTTGCGAAACTTACCATGTTTCTGTTCTCACCCCACAGCACACACACATCACTTCTCCCCACTAGGATTCCCATTCATTCAATCTTTCTCTCGCTCTATTCCGTTCGATCACTTCTACTGTCTGCGTACACAGCCCCGTACAGTCAACTCAGCTCGCACTCAACCATCCGATTGACAGGACAGCATCATGGCTTCAGAAACAGAAAACTCGTGGAAGTTTGCACAGTGCTTTGGCGACAAGGGCGAGGTCGAGGACATCACCGAAGGTTAGTCTTTGATCCATCCCTCTAACATGCGCACCACGCGCGCTCATTTTGACGACACAATTCGTTGTAGCAGTGGATGGACCTTTTTCTTCACAACAATGCTTGGATCTATAGTGAATCGTCTATACTGCAGCACAGCTACAGTCCTTTTTTCTCTACGTGCTCTTCCACACTCTCGTATCAAGGACCTGCCTTCACCACTCCAGAGGAACGCGACATGTCTTTATTCCTTTCGTTTTTGCTCTTCCACCTATCCGTTAGTCGATTCTTACTGGTTATCTGCTGTAATGAATCGACTCCACCACTCCGTCTTGTTGGGCCTCTCGTAGATACACGGAGTGGGGTCGGGTTTACGACTTCGTCATGAGACAGCTGATTGTCGGGGATATTCTCTTTGGGGGTTCAGGCTTTGGTTCTCATCGTGTTCGTTCGATCTTCACCATCGTGAACATCAAGTGCGACGACAAAGGACGATGTAATCGCGCCAGGACTGAGTCACAGTGCACCACATACAGCAAACAAAACAGAAAGATGAGGACTACCTGTCTGCTTTCAAGCAACACTCCTCATATGGCTGCTGTTTTGGACAACGGGCACAAGGATCGATATGCAGACGATAAAAAGACGTCATACTTTTGTACAGACTGGACACAAGGTTCTTGCCTTGCGGGACAACTCCCCAGCGGGACTTGGACACCAAGTCCAACTGCACAAGCCAATGCACCCAAACCACTGCGATCGGCTGCAAAATGATATGGGTGTTCTTTCAGTGCGCCATTCGCGTTTGTCTTGAATGGATGTGCTCTTACGACAGCTCACTGGGCTTCATCCATCACTATGACAGAAAGATATATTGAGTATATTGACATCCATGCTTCTTACTTTCTCCACATAGCCGACATCATCTCGACAGTCGAGTTTGACCACACGGGCGACTATCTAGCGACAGGTGACAAGGGCGGCCGAGTTGTACTTTTTGAGCGAAACGAAGGAGTAGGTCCTAAGTGCAATACATAGCACCGTTGGCTTGTGGATATCTGTCTCTATGAGCTCCTTCCGTCGTCTTGGCCTGATGCTAATCTGCTCCCAACTCGTTCTTCCGCTCTGTATCCTCCTATCTCATCGTAGAAAAAAGGATGCGAATACAAGTTCCACACCGAATTTCAGTCACACGAGCCCGAGTTCGACTATCTCAAAAGTTTAGAGATTGAGGAAAAAATCAACAAGATCAAGTGGTGCAAGCGTCAAAACTCGGCCCACTTTTTGCTGTCTACCAACGGTATTGCAACGGGTTCTTATTAAGATAGGATTGAGTGCCAGGCGGCCATGGCTTTTTATGAAGTATTCATTTATATCTCATTATGTCGTGGAAATCGGAATAATAGACAAAACCGTCAAGCTGTGGAAAGTATTTGAAAAGTCTATCAAGGTCGTGGCAGAGAATAACCATGGAGATGGTCAGCATGTACCCGTCGCTGGAACCCCTCTCAGGCTGCCCAGGCTTACACACCACGACACTATTGTCGCAGCAGTACCTCGGAAGGTCTACGCGAACGCCCATGCTTACCATATTAACTCGATCTCGATCAATTCCGATGGAGAGACCTACATTTCTGCGGACGATTTGCGCATCAACTTGTGGAACCTCAACATTAGCGACCAAAGTTTCAGTAAGTGAGAGTTCTGATAATCCTTTGCAAGTGTTTTTATTTTGAAGAATGAGCTGGTATTTACCCTTCTGTTGTCTGAATTATCACTACCCTGTTCTCAACTAGACATTGTGGACATTAAGCCTGTGAATATGGAAGAATTGACTGAGGTTATTACCGCCGCCGAATTCCACCCTGTACACTGCAATCTATTCATGTACAGTAGCAGTAAAGGCACAATTAAGTTGAGCGACATGAGAGAATCAGCACTTTGCGACCAGCACGCCAAATGTGAGTCCATACGTTGTAGTGTAAAGGCCGTACGCCCGAATGAACATGAACACGAACGCTAATGCATATTGAATTCTTTCTGCTCTGCTGCTTAGTGTTTGAGGAGGAGGAGGACCCTAGTAACAAGTCGTTTTTCTCAGAGATCATCTCGTCCATCTCCGATGTGAAGTTTAGCAAGGATGGGCGGTATATTCTTTCGCGCGACTACCTCACCCTGAAGGTCTGGGACATTAACATGGAGAGCCGACCGGTGCAGACTATCAACATTCACGATCATCTTCGCAATAAGCTGTGCGATCTCTACGAGAACGACTGCATCTTTGACAAGTTCGAGTGTACATTCAGTGGGGACGGAAAGTATGTTACTTTCCATCACGATTGCCTTTCTATCAATCCTCCTTGAAACGCCCGCTAGTTTTTTATTAGGATTATTAACAGAATTTTATCTCTCTTAACACCTCAGCAATGTCTTGACGGGATCATACAACAACAATTTTTATATCTATGACCGTAACGGCAAGAGCGACGTGACGCTGCAGGCGGATAAGAGCGCGTTCAAGGCTAAGCGCGTTGGTTCCGCCAAGAACAAGATGATGCCAAGAACCAAGAATGGCAAGAAGGACGATATCAATGTTGAGGCGATCGACTTTACCAAGAAGATCTTGCACGCCTCCTGGCACCCAAACGAGAACTCCATCGCTATCGCTGCCACCAACAATCTGTTTATCTTTACGTATGTCGACCATTGCCATGGACTTCACAATTGAGTTATTGAATGCGACAACTGTGGCAAACTGAGTTACTAACATGAACGTTTTTTGCGCTTCCTTCATCGGTCCTGGCGAACTCTTTATTCTCTCTCTACTGCCTGTTCTTTCAGCGAGTAAATATAGTTTATTTTGGAGCCGTTAATTGACACGAGCCGTTTTGTTCTTAATAACCAATTATTGTTTATCCCAATTGTCCCTCATGAACTATCTAGGCTGTAACGTGGAGCAGAATCTCAGGATTTGTACAGAAATCAACCCCGCAAAAAAAAAAAGAAAAAGAAAAAAAAAGGACTATAAAGAAATTGTTCCACGAAGGACTTACTATTATTGTGGTAGACTAGACGGCGACTACTTGTCCTTGTTGGGTGGCATGAGTTAAGATTTGGCCGAGAGAATCATGCACTGAACTGCCATGGTACTTCGGTGGAATGTCATCACGCAATTTGTGGACACGACCGACAAATTTGTGGTTGGGGTTGTTTATTGAGCATTTCTGAAAAAGACGATCAGATTAGATTAGATTAGATTGAATCTAATGGCCGCACTGTCCTCCGCATCGCGCGCCCAAAACGATCAATCACTTGTAAAACACGTCCAAGGCGTCTGTTCGGCGACCTATTGATTCAACACCTTTTTGCAAGGCGAAATGGCGTGCTTGAGTTTCTTGGTCTCCTCCGTCTTGTCGCTGTATGAAACTAAGATTGCATCAAAGCCTTTTGTTTGATCATGAGGGTTCAAAGATTCCTCGCCAGATCACTCGGCTACTGCTCTATGTCGCGCCAGTGGCAGGACACTAGAACCTAATCAGGTCGATCCCAATGGTCCATTCTTCCGATGCGATCCTATTGATCATGAAGGTGGAGAATCACCTTGGTTACCAAGACCGTGCTAAATACAGAGGGAAAGTCAACTTTCATATCTAGGGCAACTTACTTTGATGACGGGCTGTACAGTACATGTGCGTTCCAAATGTCACTTGGACCGTCCGAACAAGTTGCGTAGCTTTCGGATTCCTGTGTCGAATGCCAGCACTTTCAACTGCAAGCCATCTGTCTAAAATGAATGACACTTTTAACAAATGTCGCTTCTTGTAGACGCGCCAACTACTTCTGGTGCTTCGCATCCGATTCAAAGCAACCATTAGACTGACAAGGAGCCTACCGTGAGCCATATCGCCTAGGGTAGCTTCGAAGTCCTTTAATTTCCATCTGCTCCATGTTCTCGGTCTGAGCGCTCCCTTTACGTTTCTAAACTTGGTGCGGGTGCACAAAAGAAGGTCGCGTTCTATCAAGCCTCTGCATACAGCAACAGTGGAGATTACTATACCTACTTTGAAAAGAATCCACAGCTAATATATTCTTTTTCTCACTTTCCTTCTCTCCCTTACTCGCTCAGTTTGCATCTACACTCCGGTAGTCCTACTCGCACATTCAGACACAACACATCACCTAAGGCACTGGCCCGTGTTTATGTTGTCGTCCTGTCCTCAGGTCGTAGCTGCAAATATCGCCTGTATATCACTCACATTCCTCCTTGCGGGTCCTCAACCACGCACCGCTATTGCCCTTATGTATCCTGCCGATTTTACAACATGCTCTCCACTATCACTATGAGCCTTGCCTCTTCCTCCACCAGAAACACTGCCCTGACCTTGGGATCAAAGAATGGCTTCAGAGATTCGCCCACTATCACCACTACCGATACCCAGGCACATAACGCACCAGTGACCTACCTCACCAATGTAATCTTCGATACAAAAAAGGGTCCCTATGAGTGCAAAGAAACGCGTATTACTAGCAAGGAGCCCGTGCTTTAGCTGCTGTCTATATTATGCGTGTCAATGTGTCAGATGTGAATATTCTGTTCTAGGAAAAGCTCAAATCGCCAAATAGAATGAGACTTTCAATTCCAACCCTTTTCTGAAGGACACGTTCTCTGCAACCCTGGCGAAGGAATTACCATTTTATAGCCGTGTTTTGATAAAAAGGTCGAACTCGCATCTGGTGGGTTGACCCTCCTTATGGAACTAGATATTGCCAATGTCGTGAAAGAAGGCAGTGAGCCCAATGGGCCCCCATATCGATGGCAGCATTGAATGACACAGAACCAGAGTGGTTAGAAGTGAATGGTATCTTTTTTTTTATAAAGAGGAGTGAGGGGTCGAGTGTCAGGTGACGACTTTGAACTATTCAGCTGTGCCCAGGTAGATCAACATCACACCTCGTTTGTTGCCCATTGCACTACTCCTGCATGTCGTTTCGAAATGGTTCCTCAAGAAACCGAGAGTGAGGAGCATTTTAGAGGTACCAGGCATCTTTGCGTTCGCTGACGTGTCCAAGACTGCTGTATGCTGTTTCTGGAGATTCACGCTCAACTGAACCATACCTCAACAGCTGCGCTCAAACAGGCCATCCTCGATCGGCACTATGAAGAGATCTGCGATATCTTGTTTGCCGTGGACACGACGCAGCATTACTCTGTCGTCATAGAGTAAGATAAAGTCTATATGCTTGAGCATACATCCTGGTGATATCTTTATGCCACAAATCCACTCCTTACACACAGATGGCCGTTTGCCTTCGATCTAGCATCATGGCCCTGGTCGACTCTGCCTCGGATTCGCAGCTCTGGTCTCAACTCGCAGCCTCGCCTCACACAGTCCTTCCGATTCTCGATTCTGTTCTTCAGGATGTACAGCTTGAATTATTCAAGATTAACAATGACCCAAGCAGTCAGGATGGGGTGGTAGAGGGCGAGAGAACACCTATGTATCTTAAGCCGAAGTGCTCTGCACGAGTGATGGGTTTACCGGCAGCAGAGTCCCGGAGAATGACAATCCCAAATTCAGCGGACGTTGGAACGTTTTTATCAATTACTGCAACGGTCATTAGGTATATATGTACACTAGGAGAATGTTGTTCCTGATATGTTACATGCTCCGGACCTTGTGTAAGGTCTTGCTCATACTAAAGTCGCTTGCTTTATTCTCATCAACATGGCGGGTAGAACGGGTGTCGTCAAAATGCTGGAGAATTCGAAAAGATTTTACTGTCCGACATGCAAACAGCAGTTTGAGGTCCTGGCCGATGTGGAGCAGTACAACCAAGTTGTCCAACCAACAAAATGTCAGGCAACGACGAATGTGCGTCCTTGTACAGGGAACCGATTCCGATTAATCGAAACCCCACCAGGTACGGATATATCTACGATGGAACAAGGCACTGGAACGTATCATGCAATATAAGGAACTAAAGGGTCTCATGGACCTTGTGTCCTTTTCGCGTAATAGGTCAATTGCCTGAAGGCTGCCGTGATTATCAGGAGATTAAGATTCAGGAACAGACTAACAAATTGACAATGGGAACTATCCCAGGATCCATGGTTGTCATTCTTCATGACGACCTTGTTGATCATGCCAAATCGGGAGACGATGTAACGATCACGTAAGGAAACGGACATATCGGCGGCAGCGGCCATTCTCTTCTTTGTTTAACCATCACATGGCGTTATTTTCCTAACCGAAATATACTCCTTGACTATAGCGGTACGGTGATTCGCAGATGGAAGACGCTTATACCTGGCGAGCGCTGCGATATTGAACTCGCCCTGCTCGCCAATCACGTATTTATCCATAATGAACAGCGCGTCGGCATCGGGATCGCAGATGAGCAGCGTGTTGAATTCGAGCACTTTTGGGAGCAGGCACGCTTGCCTTCAATCAACATGCCCTTTACTGCCCGCAACAAGATCCTGGCGCACATCTGTCCCAAGGTCTATGGACTTTATATTGTCAAACTCGCTGTCATGCTGGTTTTGACTGGAGGAGTTCAAAAGGTCGACCAATCGGGTCTCAGGGTTCGAGGTGAGCCCCATTTGCTCTTGGTGGGCGATCCGGGTACTGGAAAATCCCAGTTTTTGAAGTATGCTGCGGAGCTGAATCCGCGATCTGTGCTCACGACAGGGATTGGGAGCAGCAGTGCAGGATTAACAGTGACGGCTGTGCGGGACGGCAACGAGTGGCAATTAGAGGCTGGAGCACTGGTTCTGGCGGACCGAGGATTGTGTTGCATTGACGAGTTTGGAGGTATGAGAGAGCACGACAAGACGGCGATTCATGAGGCAATGGAACAGCAGTCGATCTCGATTGCCAAGGCGGGAATTGTCTGCAAGCTGAACACGCGATGCTCAGTGATTGCTGCCACGAATCCAAAGGGGAAATATGACCCAGACCAGTCGGTGTCTATCAATATCGCCCTGGCTAGTCCGCTGCTGAGTCGATTCGATATCGTGCTTGTGCTGATGGATACGGGTAATGCAAACTGGGATCAGAAGATTTCGTCTTATATCCTGGATACACGGATGAAGATGGACGGGTATGCGCCGAAGAAGAAGTCCCTATCGAGAAAGGAAATTATTAGGAGACGAAAACGACTGAGGAGGATGAGGCGACAGCGTGAGATGGAAGCAACCGGCGAAGTTCCTCAGAATGGCGATGGCGAAGTGGAAGATAGTCTTGAGGACGATGAGCCTAACATTGTCGAGGACGATGAAGAGGAGGAGGAGGTAGCACCAGCAGGAAAGGAAGAACCATGGACCCTCGACAAACTGAAGGCATATCTGATTTGGATTAAAACCACATTCGAGCCCAAACTTACCCCGCCGGCGGAGCAGGTCTTGGTGTCGTACTACCAGCTACAACGAAAAGCTGACCTTCGGAACGCTGCGAGGACAACTATCCGTCTTCTGGAGTCCTTGATTCGTCTGAGCCAGGCCCACGCACGCCTCATGGCTCGAAATTTTGTCACGGTGCAGGATGCGATCGTGATTGTGTCGTTGCTGGAAGCCACGGCGCAAGGTGGAGCAGCCATGCTGGGCGGGATCAATCCCCTGCATGCCAGCTTTCCCAAGAATGCTGAGGATGAGTATTGGAGACAGGAAGAAGTCATGCTGAGCCGCTTGGGTTTGTCCCATTTGGCGTCGCGACCGACGCTGGAGGGCAGCCCAGCGGCAGAATCAGATGGTGAGGAGCCAACAGATACCAATGTTACGCATGATGGAGTATCTAGGCCAAGGCTGAAGCGCACCCGAACGCCGGAAGACGGAGATAGAGAAACGAGTCGGTACTTTTCCAGTCCGCACCAAAGTGGCAACCTTAGCGGAAGTATGGTGCTGGATGATCAGGCAGAGACAGAGTTGTTAGAACGGTATCGACGTGAGGATAACGATGGCACACTTGCAGAGTTGAAGGAGGAGCCATTGATTGATAGACGCGCTAGCCGACGGAGGGCCGCTGCTACTGCTGCTACGACGGCGGTGGATTGAAAGGGTAAAGGGGCTGTGCGCGAACAAAATAGCTTGTCGGTGCGGCGGCCTGATCATGAGCATTTCAGGAGTACCAATAACGCGGTCGAGGAGAAAGAAGTAGGGACGTTTCCGCATGTCTATTACATTTACAATAAAAGATTCTACTCAACAACCTGGGTTGCCAGTCTTATTTGACAACCCATCCAGAAATCCGTGTGGAATCCGAGTCTATGGCCTAACTAAAACCTAAATGCTTACCACAGAGGCTGTACCTCATAACGTCTCCTACAAGCAGCATAGCTACATGCCTACACCGACACAGATATTCTGGTTTCATAGTCGCTGACCGTATGGGCAAGTACCGCGCGTGTCTTGCTCGCTACGCGACCTGTTGCGCCGTGGCGACTTTTAGTCTGATCCTTTCACTTTTAGGAACTTCAGACCTCCCGTTCTCTCCATTACGTCCAATCTCAAACGATCCTAATACTGACTCAGCAACCGCTCGTCCGCCATTCTTGATAACCATTGCATGTTCAATGCTAACTCCTGCCGCTTAGATCGTCCAGAGGTAATCCCGCTGCTACCTGTACCGCCTGCTACACCGAAGGTCCCACACCCGGCGCCTCCCTTAACACGTTTGCTCACCGCAGTTATCCCTAAGCTCTTCTCCCATTTAACAGTAGTGTCGCATCTCACATTCCAGACTTTTGTCCTCCCAACGTCTTCTATCGCCTCGACGAACTTCTCCACCATAATTGCTGCGATCGTTCCCGTAGTCTTGAAAAGGCATTTCCACTTATCCACCATAAATTTTGGCACCAACCCATGATAAAGATCCTGCACTGTCCAGTGCTCATCATCCTCCACTGCATAGTCCTCTTCTCCTAACAGCCTTAATGTGCCCCCAATCGTCTCCAATGTCTCCCATATCCCCGCAGTGCTTGCTCTTGAAAAGGTCGGTCCGCCACCCATATTCACTTTTCCTTTTCCTTTTTTCTTCTCCACCTTCTTCTTCCATGCTGTTACCGCTCTAGTGTGCGTCCTCTGCCCCACCGTAAAACCTAAATGCTTACCTCTTCGGTAGATGCATAAAATATTCTATAGTCCTATATCACTTTTTGGCTAACGTTGGTCCAAAAGTGATTTGCCGCAATTCTGTTGGCAAAACGAGGGCTCATGACCTCTGTAATGGAAAACGTAAGTCAAGCTTCCTTTTTTCTTCCTGCAACCTCCCATGGATGCATACGTTTCTGATTACATAGATAAGGAAGAATATAATCTCACGGGGGTGAGATTTTATTTTTACACCCCCTGTGAGATTATCCAAAGCACATAGTGAAATTTTATTCTTACACCCCCCGTGAGAGCTCTAATCTTACACCCTGTTATTTTATGGCGAACCAAAGATAATCTCACGGGCATACAAAAAGCATAATAGACGCATTTAGATTAATACCTCAGTGCTTAAGCACCTGACACCCCGTTATCGTCGCCCAGGTGTGTCAAAAGGGCAAACTTCAGTACATCTCTCTCTCTCTACCAGTGCCCACTTTTGTACACCTCTCTTTCTATACCAGCCCGCACTTTTTTTCCTTCTGCCCCGACCACGCGCCATCGTACCCAATACGTAATTGTTAATAGATTGCTCTTGCTCCTATCACACATCTAATTCGTTTAAGGATCCGGATCTTTTTAGCCATCGCTTCCTTGATATAGGCTATAGTTAAGCTCCATTCTCTAATACCAGGCTTGTTACACTCTTAACACACCTGGGGCGACGCACTAAATTGCTGATTACCAGTAGTGCGGTGATAACAGGGTGTCCTACTAGGTCTATATGTAGATTCACATATCAGTTTCCTCGTCACTGGAGAATCTACCCCTTTGTCCAATCCAATATGAGGCAGGATTGAGCCAGATTCCACTCCGAAGCTGAATGACGAGGTGCCATGGAAAAGAGAAAACAGACACTCGTTTGTGATCATATTGGAGTAGTACTTTACGACTCAAAATCACTATCGTGGATCATTGCAAAGGTTTAATGCTAGATTTAGTATGCTATGGTGTAGTCAGTGCTTCGCCCAGTTTCTACAATATTCCAGTGCACTGTTGACACCGATGCAACTAGTATATAAACCCTATCTACGCATAGAACTAGGTAGCAGCATTCGCCCAATAAAATACCCTTTTCACCCTAGATCCCTCGACACTCCAGATATTCCAATCGTTTGCAAGTATGCCGACGCATAGGGAGTTACCTAGCTTTCACTATTGTGGAAAATGATAAGCAAAGCGAGACCAAGCGCTTTCCCGTTCTACATCTGCCCAATTTTTATATCGATCTACACTCGCTCCACCAAACCGCCATTTTTATTTTACTTATTTTCAGTTGGAGACATACGACTAGGGGGCCTGAATGTTCCAAAGCGAGGGGCACCAGAGCGCGTTCTTTTTCTACTTGTAGAAACCGGACTGGAAGGTCCGGTGTCAGAAGCAGAAGCAGCTTGCGCAGCTTGTCCCTGCCCTTGACCTGCTGCCGTCTGGGTAATAGGGCCCAGGATCCGTTGCTCTATGGCCGCCATCAGCGTGCGTTGTTCCTCTTGAAACGCCATGGTTTGCATGCGCTGTTCCTCTTGAAACGCCATGATTTGCATGTGCTGTGCTTGTTGCTGTGCTAGTTGCTGTGCTTGTTGCTGTGCTTGTTGCTGTGCTTGTTGCTGTGCTTGTTGCTGTGCTTGTTGCTGTTGAAAATTTGCAATGGCCAAGATCTGCATGAACTCTCGGATAGTTGCACCAACCACTCTTCCTGAATCAAATGTCATTGAAGTAGCCGAAATATCGTTAGTGTTGAATATGAGTGCATTACTGCCGCTAAACGCCTCATCGCCTTTGTCGTCCCCATCATTAACTTCGTCATCAGATGTACCTGAGGCATTGACGACCTCCAAATCATCAGGAAGAACTTTAGTGCTGTCAATAAGTTGAAGCCCTGGAACATTAGTCGGGATGTTGGAATGGGTGCAGACCCGCTTGTAATGCTTGCTCAGGCTATCCCTTGTCAGGAATGGCTTTCTACAGACGCAGATGAAAGTCATACTTCTATCCTCGCGCCTTTCAAATTGGACGAACACATTTAAAAGGACGTTTTTCACTTGGACTGGCACCGTTGAGTGAGACCGAAGCAAGTGGTCTTTTTCTGACTTGGTCAATGGCACAGGCCTGTCCTCATCCCTGACCGGGAGATCCTGTTCAATGCGACGCTCGTATGTCTGGATCGCCGCTTTCTTGTCCAGCAGTCCCTGGATACAGTTGTAGAATGTACATTCGTTTCTCTGTGCCTTGATCATTGTAGTTAGCGTAGCGTGCAGTGGAATGCTGGCGAGGAAGGTAATTTGCAACAGTGATGTTGGTTGTAGAGTATTAGAGTCTGCACAGAGAAGAAAGTTGCGAGAAAGAGTGCATTGCACCATGACCTCCACCTTGCATGGAATATATAGCTCGCCTCATAGTCTATAAGCTCTCTTCTTGACAATATCACCATGACCATGTTGTGTCATTATCTCTCTTCGTCCAATTGCTTTACGCCCATCTGCAGCTTGTGCATTTGCTTGTCTATTTGCTTGTCTATTTGCTTGTCTATTTGCTTGTCTATTTGTTTGTGTATTTGCTTGTCTATTTGCTTGTCCTTTTGCTTGTGCATTTGCTTGTCTATTTGCTTGTCCTTTTGCTTGTCCTCGTGTCTATGCCGCACACCTGCAGATCCGTCTGCAGCTTGTACATTTGCCTGTTCATTTGCTTGTCCATTTGCTTGTGCATTTGCTTGTCCTTTTGCTTGTCCTTTTGCTTGTCCTTTTGCTCGCCCTTTTGCTTGTCCTGTTGCTCGCCCTTTTTCTCGTCCTCGTGTCTATGTTGCACCACGATATTATTGTCCATGACACGATAGCATCCACTAATCGATTCCAAATGTCGCTCCACTCCTTCGCCATTGTATATGCTGTCTTTCGCACACGGTTGGTGGCATGTGCCTTGACGTCTGGAGAGAAGACCCTTGACTATAAGTGGGTCCTAGAGCAATTGCTTATTGCCACAAGACAGCTTGCACCCAAGGCTATCATGGTCGATAAGGACGCAGCAATGGACGCAGCCTGCGCGTACACACTTCCCCGGACGCAGGTCATCAATTGTTTGTGGCATATGTGGAAAAACATTCGCCTTCACCTGCACGGGCCTTTGGGGGATAGGTGGGAGATGTTTAAGCGCGACTTTACGGCTGTCAACCGCTCTTTCATCACCAGTGAGTTCGATGCGAGATGGCAGGAGTTATGTCACACGTATGAGGATTGTGATGGGAAAGTCAGCGAGTACCTCCAGCGGCTCTATAATGACCGTTTCCGATGGGTCTGGCCCTGGGTGCATACCTCTTTCACGGCCGGGAGACAACCCAGCGCGTCGAGAAAACTCACCATCTGCTGAAGATGCTAGAGCTCAACAGTAAAACATCGTTGAGCGACGTCCTCAATGCCACCAGTGCAAGGATCGAGTGCGAGCTTTTCAAGGCAAACTACACCGAGGATGCTGAGGGCAAGAAGGCACAGGCAGAGGGATCCGCACGCAGCCTGAGCCCTGGCCTGACAGCAGCCATGTTTCCTAAGATCGTCCAGGTGAACAACGACATGTTGGGAGGGTTTGCGCGCGACAAGATGCGCAGAGAGATGGACTGGTCATTCGCCTACGACTTCAACCCTTCTGACCACCAGGCTATCCTGCAAAAGCACTGCTCAAGCAACGACAGAATGGTAAGGATGTGCCGCACGTTTCCTTCTACCCTTTTATCCTCTTGGTACGACTGATGCTGATTGAATCCATTTGCATAGGTCGATCGAACTGGGAAAGCCCTCCGCGAGTCTTCTCTGGCATCACTACTCTCAAGACTGGACCCAACCGAAATCATTGCTGTCTATTCCATCCATAACAAGATCCGTCGCAGTCAACAGGAGTTCGTTGTGGTTATGGTTGGTCATTCATATTTTTGCACCTGCCTCTTGCTGCAAAACACGGAGATTGTGTGTAGGCACTTCTTTTGCGTGATGCAAGGGGACAGCAGGTGCAAGTATAGGATCAGCCTCGTTCTCAAGCGCTGGTTCAAGGAGCAGTGGCAGGATCTCGAAGATTTCGAGATAAAAGTTGGTTCAGAGCTCTTAGTCGCCTACCCGCATCACAGTGCCTCCATCAGGACCGAGGATCACCCCACCAGGACTGAGGATCACCTCGCCAGCACTCGTACGAGGAGTGTGCACACCTTGTTCTCTACAGAATCCTCGGCATCACAGCCAAGGAAGGAAGAGCGACTGAGGAAGAAGCGGTACGCAGATGTTGCAGGGATAGCGAGAGAGCTGGCCATAATGGGGACAACTGATCCAGCAATTCATGATGAAGCGATGCAAACGCTCAACAACCTCTCAATCTCGCTAAAACGGAGACAGGGGCTCATGGAGCTA